AAGACCAAACCATGGCTTGGAAGCGACTGCGACCTTCTCCTCTGCAAACAGTTTTTCAATCTATCTACATTGGAGCTCTGATTTCACTTTTAATGGCTATCTTCGTAGGAACAGTTTTTACGATGGAGTTGTATTTATTTTTGAAAACTGCACACAACTGTGAATATAACACTGTGAACTCAACCTCAATACAAATACAATGGATAAGATCAGTTTCGGATATAATTGCTTGTAGTTTTAATTATTTTTGGTTTTTTATTCTCGTGCTGTTTCTTTTTCGTCCCTTTCAGTTGATGGGAATCAGACGAAAACTTTTCCTGGTGTGCTTAATTACATATGCTTTGGATACAATTTATCGTGTTGCTCTCCAAGGTCTCGGTATATCTCATTCCCATATTTCTTATCCATTTAGACTTCCGCTCAAGGCTTTTTTTTTCAGCAATCAGTGTCTGCAATTTTATATTTTAACAAAGTACCTCTGCCCAAGTTCACAAAAGAAATTGGTTTTATTTTTCAAAATGATAGTACCAAGTTCTTTGGGTTTCTTAGCTGCCATCTTTGGGGTGTACTTAATTATATATCCAGCATACATGAAAGAAAATTCAAATGGGAAACTTTTAATTGCAACTTTTTCTCCTCTCCTCGGAGTTGTGGTAAAAGTAACCTCTCGTATTTGTGTTCAAAAGTTGTATATCACTCATCCGGGATACTCGTACGTCTTATTATCACCGGTCTATTGTGGGGCGGCTGTCCTTTTTCGAGTTTTGCAAGCGGATCTTGGCAGTTTACAAGCCATAGCATTACTTGGAATAATTCACGGTGCTGCAGAAGTCATCGAACGAAGCACTATGGTTTTAATTGATCACATTTGTCATATGTTATGGAAGAAAAGATCCGCTCCTTGGGGAAGTTTTCGTACTCCTCGTCGTGAGAGACTAATGGCTGATATCGCTATCATGAGCATTTTGTATGAATCTGCTGCTATAGTGTCGGTGAATGGATTCGTATACTTATATCAGTTCATATATGTAAGGGAAGAGAAACTGAACAATTTACTTCTGTTATTTGCAATTAATACGGCAGTTTCCCTTGCGATTGAGTGGGTGTTTAACAGCGTGTCTCTAGCGATTGAGACTCGGTATCAAAACATGGCTGTAATGGCTGTTTGGCGAAGACGATGGAGGCGACACCTTCTAGTGGCGATTGCAAATGCGATTCCAATTGCTTTGTTTACAGGCGGTAATCTCTTAGCTATTTTACATGGTAGTAGCGAAAATGTCAATAGGCCATGTAAAATGCCATTTACATAGAGCATAAAGCAAAGCTGTTAAACAATAAACATGCAAGCAATATAACTTTTAACATGTAAGTTTAACTAACGATCAATTGCTGGTTTACAGTGTCAGGCCATTCAAAATAGATCAAAATCAAAATCAAAACCGTTTAATAGATAAAGTCCAGAATCTGGGAAATGAAAGGAGATACATATACAAAGACCCTCGCCAAGATTCAGGTTAGAGGAATATTTCGTATACGAGATATCCGAAGAAATGTTTTACCCAAACTTATAGAGATTTGTACGGAGACACCATGCTGGTAGCCTGTGAACAGGCTCTCTGTTTGGGGAAAAAAAATAGCAAGGAAAGGGAAGGGAAGGTTCGCTTTTCCCTCTCCCTAATTCCCCGCTCGACCAAAGGCCTGTTCACAGGCTACCATGCTGGTGCTCACCTGGATGAGCTCCAACTGGCGGACGGAAACCAACAGAAACATCTGTTACCGAGTTTTGCTACAAAAGCGTGAATTTATTCTTCGCGAAACTCATCAACGTTAAAGTAATACTTTTTCTAATACATGAAATGTTTAGATAGCAAAATTTTCTGAAATAAGTCATTTTTTTAACCTACATGACAGCTCTCTTGGCTGTCATGTAAATGCCGCTTCCACGCAAAAGCTTAGAAATTCAAGCGTACTCTATCAAAAATTCAAGAACCCTTTTGAAGCGAAAATTTTTATGAAAATTAGTTTTCAGCTGCTCTAATGCATCGTGAAAGTAAAATCTCGGTAGGATCGATAGTTTTTTAGTTTGAATTTTAATGACGTCATGTGGAAACCAACAATAGATGGTTTCTGCTGACATGAATTTGGTGCAACGCAAATACACCATTTTGGTGCACTTAAGTCTCCGCAGTAAAACATTTCCGCGGTAACAGTTCTTTTCATACAAGTGTCCTAACTGAGGTTTTCAGCAGATAACATGCAAAGCCTGTATATATTAAAAATATTGCACCGTTGAATATTTTTTTAACCTCAACTCAATCCTTCTTAAGTGTATGCCGGGGAAAGATTACGTACCTTACTCTTTTTTAGCCGTTTTTGAGTTTTCTTGAGTTTTCAACCGAATTTATGGCAGCAAATAATTTTTAATTAGACTTAAAATGTTGCTTTTTTATATTGGCCTGGCGATAACCTAGTAAGCTATGGAGTGAAAAACATAGAAAGAAAATCAAAATATTATTTTGAAAAAGTAGTTTTCTTGAAGGTTTAGGTTTCTTGCTATGAATCAACCTGTTTCAATCTGAGAGAAGACTTACGTCAGCGTTAGTTTTTACTAAGCAGCTGGTTTTCTGGCTGATATAAAAGTGGGTGTATATAACACTGAAGTACAGAGAGTATTCTACGAAATAACGTGATAGAGTCAACTCCAAGCCAATAAAGAGCGACTGAGAGTCAATAACAAGCAGTTGTCTTTTGATATCTGGGCTCTGGGCCTTATTACACGAGCTGAGTAAGTGGGAGGAATTTATCGTAGGATTTCAGTTAAAATTATTAACATTTTTTTTAAAGAAGAGATTTTTAAAATATGCTGATATCTCAATCGAATTTACGTGTACAGGAAAATCATATATGCTTCCTTTAATTTCCACAATTCGTCAACGAGTTTCCTGTTGAAAAGGCTTAGTTGGCCACTTCAAAGAAGCTTCATTTTTATAGAAGTATCAGGGAAAAAATCAACCACTCAGCGACCACTACCTGATCTTGTTTGCAGAAACTGTACTCAAGGAAACAAGAAATGTTTAAAGCAATAACGAGCACTAACATTTCATTTCTCAGCATCACTCTTAAACGCCTGACGTAACACGAATGAATGCTTTCGAACCCGCAACCGCTCATTCCCTCAGCCACAATCTTTTCTGACCCATAATTTAATCATTATTACAGGTGTATGAGGAAAATATGAGGTTTGGTAAAACCACATAAAGTAAATAATAAACTCCAGATGAGATTATCATACTATCGTATTTATTTCAACACCGTTTGCAACATGAAAAAACACAAATAACCTTACACAAATAAAGTTTTGACAAGCAAAAATCGTTTGCAGGAAACACACGCGGTGATCTTTGTAGTGTTTTAGCCTCGCGAGTAAATAGTGCGTTAGCTCGGTGTTTTGCCAATCTTTTTAGAGCAAGAACCTTTCAGAATTTGGCAAAATCCTACTGTCCATTTTTTTGAAGGTAAGAAAAGACTTCAAGGCATTCAAAAGAGCGTTTTCCGATTAACTTTACTGAGCAATATTTTTCGCTCGCTGGAATGTTGACAATTACAGTTTAAAATGGAAGAGGTGGCTTTGCAAACTCAACATTTCCTTCAAAGGCGAATTTTCCCCAGAAATCAAATTCAACTTATGACCAAAAAAAATAAAAGCAAATCTTTACGAAATTTCGAGATTTCAATGTCAAGAAAACTAAAGAGAAACGGCTCCTTACCTCGAGCAACCGGGCCACCATTGTCTGCACTTATTAAAGAACAACACAAGCTGCACAAAAAACCTTTTTCCCTGACTTGGCGAGTCGACAGATGAAAACAAAGCTCGTCTTTTCTTCACAGGCTGGGAAGCAGAATTTAAAGTTCTGGCGATTCCATATAATGCATTAGGCCATTGTTTGCGAAAGGATTTTTTAACTGCGATTTAAATTTGCAATGTTTGAAAATTCTGTAAAGATCAAATTTTGCACATACCGATTTTCACACATGAGTTGATCCGTCAAAATCGTCAATCAAATTGAACTTAAATGGTCTCCTTACAGATTTTCAATCTTGGTGAATAGTGACTTTAGGAATATTAACCTCGCCGCGAATATTCCGCTTCTATTCACCTCGTGTTCAAGAATATTAAAGTGCTTAATTGTTAATTGTCCAATGTGAAGCACGTTACAAAATATCAGTAGAAGCAGGAAAAGGTGTTTTCCACATGATTCCTCGTCATGTCCTTGAGAAAAATACTAGAAACCTTTATACGTTTTCTTCCTTCCTTTTTCAACAGAAAATACGTCCACACGGTCGCTTGTACGGTCGTCTTTGTAGGACCCGCATTTTGTGTTCAACGCTTAACGCTTATCCGGGCCGCATTGCTACTTATCCTCTTTCCAGCTGTTCCAACAAAAACGATGGTCCACGCGGTCGCTTTAACTGTATTTCTACCGTTTCTTGTAAAGGATCCGTTTTTGTAGAAGTTTTAACCAATTTCTACGGTAGGTTCTTCGTTGAAGAAGGACAATTTATCAAGTACACACCCTCCACACCGTCCCTCCACTTAGGCAGCCATTTTTTTCATTTATTGACACCGCCTCGCTTTGGCGCGCTGAATCTTCCGGAAGTCAACCAGTTTACCGGAAACTGTTTCCGCATGGTCCGCATAGTTCTAAAAATAACTTATTTGGGATTAAGATATCCCAAAGGCGTGACTGGGAGTGTCCCTCTCTGTCATATTATGGCTCTTGCTCCAAGGTACTATACTTATTACTACTTGTCCAGACTTTGCTGTCGCTTCCCAAGTTACCTAGTATGATTTCTTGACTCTTGCTTATTCTCGTACGTAAGCTCGCGCAATGCCAATTTAGTTTCGGCAAAAGTCTTGCCATTAGAGAATCCTCGTATGGTCGCAGTTACTTTTACTGTAATAAACTAACTTACCGCATATTTTGTAGATCACATTGACATCAAACAACTGTGCATTTTTCCACGACGAACAATTCTTCAGAAGCATTAATATCTCGTTGGTTTTCTGAGTTGACAAACGGGGCAAGAAAAATGATTGATGCTCCCAGAAGTATGACAATCCCTGTCATATAAAATGCTGGAACATATGAGCCCATCTCATCAGCCATGAGACCTACAAGATATATCGCAAAACCGCTAATAATTATACACATATGAAGAACCGAAAATAAAACGGATTATAATTGATTCAAAGTATTTCTCCGTTTCTGATTGGTTAAAAGTACTCGCATAATTCACCATAACCTACTACTGTTGACCAAATTTCGAAGAATTTTGCGATTAATCAACCGATGACGTCAAAAGTACAACACAGTTGGAGGTTAATGCACCGTTAACCGAGAAGACCTGGGACGAGGTTGAGTTGTTTTGGTTGTGAAAAGAAAAATGGCCAAACAGTCGGCGACACATTTTACTCGTTTCACGACGAACTATTGTCTAAAAACATAGCAGGAAGACAACTCGACGGATAACATCTGCTATTTGGAGTATATTTGCAGACCTAACCAGCCCTTTATCATCATTCAATCTTATAATTTCATATATTCGAATTTTTGCGTCTAGTAAGGCTCTCGGAAAGATATCAAAGTCATGAAACACTTCGCAATAAGTCTCGTTTTGAAAAAGACGCTAGAGACAACTCGGAAATAGCCTGCAAAAAATGCGCTATATTCGGCGTTTTATGAACGAGTGAGGGCAGGCACGAAACGGACGTGAAGCACCCGACGCGCTTGTCTCGCAATTCACGCCTGCTTCCTGCTTGCCTTCGGTCGCCAGAAAAAATAACGTCTGTTCTGCAGGATGATTATACGTTTCTGGGAAACTGCCTACCTACCCCTCTCCTAAGCCAACATTTTGTCCTAAGTGAGAAGTAAGTGTTAATGTTGGCTTATGGGAGGGGTAGGTGGGCAGTTTCCCAGAAACGTATAATGATCCGAAACAACCTAGTAAACTTGAAAACATTTACCTGCAAGAGGAGGACCAGCTGCAGCCATAGACGCACTGACCATAACAGCAAGACCGAATCCTAGCGACCTTTTCTTACTGGTGAAACACGAAAGAATAGCGATGGTCGACGAGCATCCGATGGCTCCGTCGGCCAGTCCGAAGACTATGAAATATAGTACGAAATGAAAGTATCTTCTTGCAAGAGGTAAAATAAGGGTTGCGACTCCATTAACTCCTGCCACAAGCTGGTAAATGTAAATTGCTTCAATATGCTTCAAGTCACATAACCAGCCCACTACTGGACGGCAAAGCATTGAGGTTAAACCGCTGTATAGATAGAGTCTGGAGGCCTGTGTGGCTGTTATTCTTAAATCTTCACAGTAGCGAACCTAAAGACGAAAAGATAACACGTGCGTCAAAAAAGAGATTGATGAAAAAAGAGATTGATGAAATGAGAGTTTTAAGGAGGCTACGTCACGATCGGAGATCAATTCTGTGTTTCCTTCTCTAACCCTCCCCCTCCCCTTCATTCCACTCTTTTGCTCTCGTCCCAACTTTCCCGACGAACTCGTGCGGAATCGCTTGCCACGCAGGCTGGCTCTCTAGGATCATTATACGTCTCTGGGAAACTGCCCACCTACCCCTCCCATAAGCCAACATTAACACTTACTTCTCACTTTGGGCAAAATGTTTGCTTAGGGGAGGGGTAGGTAGGCAGTTTCCCAGAAACGTACTGTTACTTCACCCATACACACAATGCTACTGTAGAGTTGAAGAAGAAGACAAGAAACAAATTTCATCAGGGAGCACTAAACATACTAATTCATTGACTTGAGGGCATGTAAATATTGAAAAAAAAATGGACCAAGCAAATTTCCCAGTCGTTCCTGCTTGCCACGAAAATGGAGGTCTTGGAAAATGACGTCACAACCATCCCCAGTCCCTTGTTTCCTGTAGTACGGACCACACCGGAAGCGAAATTTCACGTTTCTGGTACGTTAAAACACGGGAAAGTAAAATCTATATCTTTTTTTTCGCTGTTCTTATCACGACACTATAGATTCTACCAAGTAAATAAGAAATTCTGTCATATACCCTTACATTTATTAATCATCTTTCAGTGATGTCGAAAGTGGTCCATTCATCTAGCTATACACTTACCATGTGAACGGAAGGAATGTAATGAACGACATAGTACAAGTTCATTGAGAGAAATATGATGTCAAACCGCTTGTTGCTAAACAGGGACCACACACTTTCACAGAATCTTTTCTTGGCATCTTTCTTAACAGATTTACTTTCCTCTTCCTCTGGCGGAATACGTCGAACAGTGCAAACTAACGGAACGGAAAGGGCCACAAATCCAGCTAATATCATATACGTCCTTCGCCAGTCAAGCTCATCAAGAAGAGCCTTCATTACGAAGCTCATAACGAACATCCCTCCACCAGGGCCCATAGCAACAAGTCCCACAGCTAAGGAACGTCTTTTGACAAAGTACCTCGGCAACACGAGATATGGAGGGAGAAAGATAAAACTTGAACCAAACCCGAACAAAACACCATACGTTATGAGAATGGAATAGATGCCGTTTCCTTGTGAGGTGGCTAGAAGAGCTCCAGAGCAAAGTACAACTCCAAGAATAACTGTTGCACGTGGACCAATCTTGTTGTACACTTTAGCCACTAATGTGCTGAATATTCCCATGCCAACCATAGCTAACGAGCCAACTAAAGCTGAGGACAGTAAAGGACATTTACTTGTATCTAGAATAGTGTCATATGTCACGTGAATACTACTAATAAAATTACACACATAGAACGTCGAGCCAAACCAGAAGCTGAAACAGTGGTGGATCTATGGGCCTGGAGCTGGGGGCTGGGAGCTGGGGGCTGGGGGGTTGGGGGCGGGGCCAGCCCCCTTCCCACTTATTTTTGAACCAAAGCAAGGCCCACTGCTGGAGCTAGGGCGTTAGCAGGTTCTTCTATTATCTTGAGGTCTGAATTCACAAGTGCCCACCCACCCCACCCCAGACAGAGCCCCTTTAAGCCAACTGTGGTGAGTAGAAAATGGTCACACACACATGACTGGAGGAATGGGATAGGCTGCACCCCTTGCTTCTCTTGTCTTGTGACTTCACTGCTTGACACTCTTGTCAGTAATAATCCTCCAACTTTCAAGACAAATAAGTTGAGCTGCTTAATGTCTAGGATCCATGCAAGTCATTAGCATTCCTGCCCCAGTGAGATAAACCCAGCCGAAATAAAGTCATGCCATACATGTAATAGTCAGTGGGCTGTTGTAACCTTACACAATGTTAGTCTGTCAAGGACTCAAAACTTAATTTTCTAAGCAATTCAATTAGTGAAAAACCAAATCCAGTATGCCCCCACTGCACCCTACACTAATGGTCAAACGTTTTCCCCCAGTTATTATCTTCACATTCACACTAAATAGAAAATAAGAGGCCGATTAACAGAATATAATACCCTACTCTAATCTTATTGTGAAATCTTTACCATTAAGTAGACTAACCCTTCATAAGGTTCTACTCACCAGTAAGACCCTTTCCCTGCTGAAACTCTGCCAAGAGAGTAGGAAACATGACTCCATAACTGATAATAATCCCACATATAATTATGTTTGAAACAGCACAGGCCAAGCAAACAACCCATGACCAGCATGAATCAGGTTGTACAGGGTTCCTACTGGCTGAGCAAGTGATTGCTTGCTCAGGTGCATAGACTGTTTGTACTACACTTGATTGCTGCTGCCTTCCCATTAGTATTTGTTGGTGTCCTGTGACTGTTCACTCTTAGTTGTGACTGCAAAGGAAATAAATGTCATGATAATATATACTGGTCAGTAAAAACCTGACCAATGCTTGAATGCATTGGCTTCAAATAAAAAAGCGCACTGCATGTGAGTATTATTCACTGTTCACATCTCAACAGTCAGTGATCTGACCAATCAGATCATTATACCAGAATTTGTTTTTATAGATGGGCGACATCAAAACAAAGTCTACAGGCTACCCCAGCCTTTTTTCTCTCCCACGGCCCACTCCACTTTGGAGCCAGTTCGCAGGCTACTGTTTCGTGCTTTTTGAGAAAATGCTTGTCCTCATTGTCAACCCAGTTTCAGCCCAACTTTGTGTTACTGTCACCATTTCATTTGTACTCAAGTCACTGTCTTGAGGCCATGTCCCTTGTCAGAATTTTACACTGACAAGGCCCCAAAAATTTGTGACCCTCTTATTAAATTAATGTATGTTAGACAGTAGCTCATTGCTGATCAAATTGGAATTTAGACACACTGGCTTTGTCTATGAGGCCATCAGTATTCTTCACAGATGGCAGAAGAAAATGATTCTATTACCAAGGAGGAAACTAAGAACTAAAATGGTAATGATACTTTTAGTTTCTGCTTTGCCTATTAGAAGTAACCCTCTGACACGATTATTTGTCTAAACTGACATTTACAAATTATTGTAACATACTTGATCAGCATGCCAAAGTGACACTGCAGTCTGTATGATTGTTCATTCTCCTTCAATAAAAGATTTTTAAATATGATTTCAGAAAAACGTAGAGACACCGAGTTGAATCTTAGGCTATGCTCACACGGGATAGCTTTTTATGGCGTCACAAAAATCTATCGGGTATATTGTGAACACCTATCCGATATGTGACTCTCACTTTAGAGATTGACGCAGGGGGGCGTGGAGTGGTGCAGGGCAGCGCGGCGCAGTGCAGCTTCACTCCATCACAGAAGTCGCGCCCTGACAACTGTTCTTGTATGTGAACAGAAGCCCTATCCGGTATGATCTCATGACGGCGCAAAAATCCGTTACAGTGTGAACATGGCCCTAATTGTGAAAACATGAAACATTATATTACTTTCTTCGAATCATAATTTTCATTCTTTATTTTCCTCGCTGTTCATAGTGCTCAAGGCGTCAGTTAAAAAAATATATTCACAGATAGATAATCTAGAAGCCGAGTAACCAAATTTAACCAGTCTTGTTTAAAGTAGTCTTTGTGTTGAGTGAGATCAGACACTACACGTGCCAGAAAAAAGGCATCAAAGCCGCCGCAAAATGAGCGGTCATGTTCCCAGTTCCGTAAGCGTTTATTACAAGGCCGGCTTTTTAAAAGATTAGAAAATACAATACAAAGCAAGGACTGACTATTTTAAAACATAATATATCAATATTTGAGCTAACGTTTTCACTAAGTGTTAATTAATACGCGTATGTATAAGCTTTAATAAGCTTAAAGTTGACTGAACTCTAAGCATCTCAACGGATTCACCTACCTTTGTTCAACGCCAAAGAGACTTGATAGTCTAGCACACCTTATTGAAATGCTTGCTAAGGTCCATACGCAACTTTGCCCTCATAAAAAAAGGAAACCTAAGACACGACTTTTGATGATGAGTGTTGCACCATTTCTCCGGTTGGTGAAGAAACAGTATACAGTATAGCGTGACTCGTGACATTCCTGGCTCAGCACTATACACTTCCTATAGAAAAAAACTTCCGGTTCTATGTTATGGTAGAGAAAATGGGTACTGAAGCTATGAGGCAGCCTTTCTTGAGGTAAAAAGTTTATGAATTTAACAATTTTAAGTCACTGTCTTATCTTGGTATTCAAAGGCTTTTTCGTGCATTCGAGAGTTCAGCAATCAAAAGTGCCCCAAGGCCGGTGAGAGATTGGGAATTACAACATCAGTGGTCACGCTTCCTGTCACGAAAAGTTAAAGTGAAGGTCAATAAAGTTTTGCAGGCATGGAAGACTTGAACATTTTCCAAGAGAAAGAGGGGGAATTCACGGGACCAAGGCATGCGTTGATGAAAAATGTAAGAATTCCTTTTTATGAACCCAACATAGATAAAGATTTTGAAAAGGATCTAAGCCGTTTCGAAACCAGACCAGACGATGTATATGTTGTCAGCTATCCTAAATCAGGTAGGATCATAGTTAAATACCTTGCATGTTGACATTTATTAATACAAAAAATGGTGATATTCTCGGTGCGTAGTACATCATCTTTTCACAAAATACAACTTTCCGAAAAGTTGTACTCAACTGACATGTAAACTTAGGGACGCAACGGCAATAAGCCATAAAGTCTTCTGAAGGGAGACTGTGCCGACAGACGCTGTGAGCTCGAGTATGTAGCATGCAGGGTTATAAAACTTAACTGATACCCCTTAAGAAACTAGGCCAGTAATCCCCCACCCCCCCGCCCCATTCCCCCATTTACAAAGAGATCTCACAGCTTCATCACCAGAATGAGGTTGGCCGGTAGATAAACTTTATCTTAAGAGGAGTCTTTTAAATGGATATCTTATTTTTCTTCTTCTTCTTCTTTTTGTGGGGTCACGCAACGCTCAGGAATGCATGTTTGCGTGACGACACAAAGGGTGGCCGGACATGTATGGAAATGTCACAACTTGGTAATTAGTGTGCCAAGAAATAGCAACCACCAAATCACATTTTATCGCGTCATTCCCACAGGAACAACCTGGCTTCAGGAAATTGTTTGGCAGGTGTACCATAATGGTGAAATAAGCAAAGAGGGAGTGGAGAGTCGATACCCGCAACTGGAGAAAAGTCAACTCTTTGAGAGGCCTGGGGATGAATCTCAAGTTACCCTTAACTCTCGACCCAGTCCCCGACTCATCAAATCGCACCTTCCCTATCACCTGATACCAATGAGTGAAAATGAGGCCAATAGAAGCAAATATCTCTACATCGCCAGAAATCCAAAGGATGCTGCCATTTCATTTTATCATTTTGTCAGCAGTTTTGGCCCCGCCAGCCATTTTAGTGGAACTTGGGAGTTCTTTGCAAAACTATTTATTGAGGGCAAAGGTATAAATTCTGTGAAATACCTACTTGAATGTGCAGATATTGACTAGAAATTTATGCAGCCCGAGAAAGGCTAAAAGTTCCTAAATGACTGTTCCATTCATCTGAAATTTTCTCCGGTTTTTTCCCTTGACCGTCTATGATTTTCCAAAAACCCATTTCAGAAGAGATCAGAAAATCTTTCGTTTACCCAACATATAATTTTACAGCGCCACTTTATTATATGCCTCCGCAAAGATTAAAAAGCATTGCTAAAGAAAGCCGTAAAAAACCTTCAGTATTTAACGCGTTTGAGAGAACAGGAAGCTAAGTGTCCCTGGTGTATTACCCTTGCGCCCATGCTTTCTAGTACGTCATATTCTTTGGAACAAAATGACTGCAATGTTGGATATAGACTAACTGTTATATAGACTAGGAAACAGTAGGTTTTTTTTCCCTTCATGATCGGTTTTTAAAGGCGCAATGAGGGTGAGTCTCACTTTTTTTTCAACCTCGCTCTAGAACGTTTGTTTCCTGATCTACTCGAAAATACGGGCTGTTTTGGAGTCTACGTAGGTTATATGATTTTAACAACCCATATATTTTTACCTGAATGCTAAATTGCTCCTGGTTTCTTTGCAGGAGCGTTTGGTTTTTGGCCTGATCATGTTTTACCATGGTGGGAACACAGAAACGAACCACATATTCTCTTACTCAAATTCGAGGATTTGAAGAAGGTAAGTAAACTGTGATGTTTTTGTTACATGTACTTTTTCCAACACCCAACAACAAATGTCCAAGAAACGCCAGTGAAGATGTTTTTACCGCTTAAATTTCTTTCATCGTTGAACCTGACCGATTATATAGAAGCTGATGCTAAAGAAATTTAAGAATCAGTTTAATCTCAATGAAAGTAACGATGTAATCACTGCCTCCCCTTCAGGCGCTTCGTATTTCGCCCAGAAGAAAGCGCGAAACACAACTGACTGGTGACGAAGCGCAATGGACCATGGGAAGGAGAAAGAAGAGAGGCGAAGCGCCGTCTCGCCCCTTTTCTCCTTCCCGCCTTCCTTTGAGCGCAAATTTTCATCGAGAGACGTCGGGTACGAGGCAGATGTTACTACTAGTCGGCAAGCGATTTCGCGTTAGACTAGGTCAGTTTTGTGTTCAATAGCCCACGTTCGATGAATGTTTAAATTGGGACACTATTGTTTTTGTTATTGGCTGTTACAAGGTTGCACAGAAAACAGGGTCAAAAGTCCATTCCCAAAACAGTCCCATAGTGCAATTCGACACAACTTTGACCCAGTCTCCGGCATATCCTCAAAATGGCCAATTTTTTTATTGGTTCTAATATTGTTATCATCATCATCATCATCATTTCCACCACCCCCACCATTATCACTATCATCATCATCATCATCATCACCTTCATCGTCATCGTCATCACCATCTCCACTATCATCATCATCGTCATCATCATCATCATCATCGTTGACCTCGTCGTCATCATCATCATCATTATCATCATCATCATCATTACCATCATCATCATCATCACCATCATCATCATCATCATCATCATCATCATCATCATCATCATCATCACCATCATCATCATCATCATCATCATCATCATCATCATCATCATCATCATCATCACATCATCATCATCACCATCATCATCATCATCATCATCATCACCATCATCATCATCATCACCATCACCATCATCATCACCATCACCATCATCATCATCATCACCATCACCATCATCATCATCATCATCATCATCATCATCATTATTACCAACACCACCATCACTATTACTATTATATTGTTATTTATTTGTTTATGTATTTATTCATTTCATATTTGTACTGGAATCTGTTATAGGACCTGTACAGTAATGTTGAACGGATCAGCAAGTTTCTCGGAATCAACCTCCCAGAAGATGTGATCGCCCGAATTGCCCATCAGTGCACGTTTAGTGAAATGAAGAAAAACGCCGCCAATTTTAAAGTTGATAATAATCCCTCTAAACCAAGTTTTCTCCGCAAAGGTGAAGTTGGAGGGTGGAAGAGTCACTTCAGCGAAGAATTAAACAGACAGTTTGATGAGAGGCTGTTTTCCAAGATAAAAGGAACAGGATTGGAATTTGAGTTTGGAGATTAAGTTTTATTATTTCTCGAAAGACACGGTCGAACGACTTAGAAGGGAATTAGTCAGGCAGTTTAGTAAAAATGCATTTATGTTTGATTTTGCTAATTATTCACTATGAAATTTTTTTAACGTCATCGAAGAATCAGAGCTTCATGACAAAAATTCAATATGGTTCCTAAGCATAATAATTTAAAGTTACATCTACCAGAGAAGAACTTTGAAAACTCTTTTAGTTGAACTTTTTAAATAAACTCCAATTATTGGAGTTTTAGAAACTTGTGCAGTTCCCACTTTAAAAACGAGAGGGCCGAGTTTATGTTCGCAAAGAATTCTGGGGCTGTTACTGGGAACGGAATAATTGACCAATAGCTGACGGGCGCGTCCCCAGTACAATCCCAGAAACAACTGCGCTCCTCCAGTCCCCTTCTTGTTACTAAAGTGGCGAATACCCTAACCTCGTTCCCGGGGTTCTCTCCTACCCGTCGCTAAGGACCGAGAGAGAACGGGTAGGAGAGAGAACCTGGGAACGAGGTTGGCGAATGCGCGACTGTATGTGGAGAAACAACCAATGGTAAGTCGAGTCTTTGTTCACACTTTACAGGATCAATAATTATTTTTGTGCACGGCACTATTGTACAGCCAAGATAAAAAGCAGCTCAAAACCGACACGGTACAAACAGCATAATCACTTTCACGAGAGCTTCGTTGTGTAGCAACAGGAATCAGCTGGGCCACAAAAATCGTGCCAAACTGGCGCTTCTTGTATGAAGAAAGTGCCAATCCGGTAAGGTTTTCAAGATGATACGAATGTTATCCGTTTTAGTGTGAATACAGCCTTAGTGACCGGTATTTCTTGCAGCTGGGCAAATTTGTTCAGTATTATGAAGGTAGTTGCACCCTAACGGGCCTTTTTTTAAATCATGTTGAAATGGCATCAAGACTTTCGTTTTGTAGCTCAGTTTGTTTGACTGTAATTTTCAAGCAGTTACACCACATGGTGGTACTCTAGAGAATTATTTCCTTTAAATCTTATCTTATTCGACTGCACACGGACGCACAATTCATGAAAAGACAAAGTACCCACTTCACTTCACTTCGCCTCACCCCCTAATAATCATATACCAGTGCTAATTAAAAAAGACCCACTCCGATAGCTGTTCAGGGCTTTTGAGGTCTAACAGGCAAACAAACGCTATGTTTTGAAAGTCCGTTGGACCAAGTTCGTACTGTGTTCCACCGACATCCATAGCATCAGTCAACCAGACTAATCACAGCTTTCCTAGCTGCGTCGTCCATGTCATCTGCAGGGATCAGCGGCATCCCGCTCTCGGTTAGAATATGTTTGGCTTTTTCCACGTTCGTTCCTAGAAATCAGGACAAAAATGACAATAAGGTGACTTGTTGGGATTCATGCTGTGTTTTGTACAGCGGGGGAATTACACACCGGTTCAAGGAACAAAATGAAAGGGTGGAAATCTTAATGTCGTAGCTACTTAATTAAAGAGACTCTACCATATTTCGAGCAACAACAATTTACCGTCTGTCCTCTTTGAATACAAACTCATGATCCACTTAAAAGCAAGGTAAGACAACTTCACCTAATTATCAAATATTTAATGGTCACGACAAGGTTTAGCTGTATGCCATGGCACTGGTCTGTGCTAGAAACCTTTGCGCAATACCTACACCATCTTTCCACAGAACAAATAGGGAGATAAGTCATAAATTAATTTCGGTTAAGTCAGCTCGCGACACAATTGCGCGACAAATCATCCTTTTAGACTTTCAAAGATTGTGACCAAGCAAAGTATCCTGCCATCTATTTACAAGTGGGGTGATATAATTATTTGTGAAGCTTAACCTGTTAAGTCCCTGGTTCACAGTTACGCTTCCTTTTCACCAGACATACACGAAATAAAGTGTTATTCATCTTTTAAATAACGCCCGCTAACCCCCTCTCCCTCCCCCACGGGTTATTTTAGCCTCTCCAGACTCTCCCCAGTCTTTCTCTACGTTCAAAATCAAAGATGGCAGGCGACACCACGTCTTCAAAACAAACCCGTTTTCGAATCAAACAACACGCGTATATTACCTGTGAAAAAGTATCTATTTATCTAATTCACACTTACCTTCTAACCTCACTATCACAGGAACTTGTACGTTCAGCCTTTTGTAAGCAGAAGTTATTCCATTCGCGACAATTGAGCAGTCAACGATTCCACCAAATATATTCACCATAATTGACTTGACCTGTAAGCGAAAACCATGGGAAACCAACAACATTAAGGAGTATTGGAGAAAAAATTATTTTAATACTTACTCAGGTCGTGCAGCGTGGAGCATACAATAGCAGCGGCAGCAGTTCGATACAATTTCTTAATTTCATTTTGGGAAAAAATAATGCTATAAAATAAGGGGAACCGTTTGAAAGAGCGGCTAAAGGGACGTTTTATTTGAATGGTCACACTGCAAGAATTTTATTCGCAGACGTAAAAGTAGATCCACTAGGTACAGCACAGTAAACAGTACCGCTGTAAAGTATTGCTCAGTAGCTTTCATTTGAATGGTCACACTAGGATTTCATCCACAGATTCAAAAGTTAGATCCACCTCGTACAACATAATAAACAGTACCACAGGAAAGTACTGCTCAGTAGCTTTCATTTAAATGGTCACACTTTAAGATTTCATCCACAGACTCAAAAGTTAGATCCACCTCGTACAGCATAATAAACAGTACCACAGGAAAGTACTGCTCAGTAGCTTTCATCTGAATGGTCACACTTTAGGATTTCATCCACAGACTCAAAAGTTAGAACCACCTCGTACAGCATAATAAACAGTACCACAGGAAAGTACTGCTCAGTAGCCTTCATTTGACTGGTCACAACATTGGGTCTCGCCCAAAGACTCAAAATATAGAGCCAACATAATAGACTGACTCCACCATTCATCCTAGGAGAGAAGGGGTTAACAGGTCTTATACTTACCCGCGGATCCTTTGTTACAATATTGAAAGCTTGAAACACTCCTTCCTCTTGTACTCCTCCCCCAAGGTCCAGAAAGTTAGCCGGGGTACCCCCGTGGAGTTTGATAATGTCCATAGTTGCCATTGCTAATCCAGCACCATTCACTAAAGAAGAGAGTTAGTAGGAAGATAAAAGTAACTGCTGCACTCACCCTACTCACCCTTGCGAACGACAAGCCTGCCTAGCAAGGAAAGTAACGTCCCCGGCTCTAACCGGGGGGGCGCAAGTTAAATAACGTGACCCCTCTTAATACAGACACCTTTACCACAACAATCATCATCGTCATCGTCATCGTCATCGTCGTCGTCGTCGTCGTCCTCATCGTCATCATCATCATCATCATCATCAACATCATCACACTGGCGAAGAGCTTATTCAAGAACCCCACCGTAACCCCCAAATCCCTGAGTAAATAACACGAATGGCCTGTACAGTAGCAACGTTCGCTTATTATATATCAATGAGCATTCTTTACAGCCACCGGTATTATAGTCTTACCAAGACAAGCAATATTTCCATCCAGGCCGATATAATTGAGGTCATATTTTCCAGCTTCCACTTCACGAGGGTCACTCTCGCTGTGATCTTCCATAGCGAACACTTCTCTCTGCCGGAACTTGGCGCTGTCATCGAAGTTAAACTTGGCGTCGAAGCACACCACTTAAAAAACGAGGCACAACACAGTTTTTTTCTTTCCCTTCATTCAAACTACTTAACTGCTTTAAGGTCTACTGAGATTAAAATGGGCCTACACACAGGCTACGCTAAACAAGAGACAACGCAGGATCTCGTTGAATAAAGTTACGTCAGCAAACGCAATTTGAGCAACAGACGGCAATCCGAAATGGATTTTCAGTTACATTTTTGGGCAGTGGTTTTGTTCAAATTTCACTTAACAATTCAAAATTGGTAGCGTCAAGGAAAATCAAATGGGAACCGCTCAAAAACGCTTCTGTTTTAACTCCCTAATGAACGCAGGGTGGTCCTAGGACTTTCTCAGGACCTCAGTCCTTAGTAAATTTATTTATTTCGCTTACGTTGGCTGTCACGTCCGATTGCTAAAAGCCTTTTAGTTCCCCACCCTCCCTTCTTTCTGTATGTCTTTGGGTAAGTATTAAATTTTTCCACTGAGGAATGCAGGTTTACGGTGCAAGATGGTTGCCATTCACAGCGTTGTTATGGTTACATTCTGCATTCGGTTGCGGTTCGCACAGACTTTTCAGACAACTTCCTCTCACTTCTCTAATGGAGATAAGTTAAAAAGGAATGACGAACATCTTTAGGTGAAACTTAACCCTATGACTCCTAATACAATGTACCAAAATTAAAATCCTTATTTGGTGCCCCTTTAAGTTTTCTACCGAAGTAGTGGGGAGAAGTTGATAAAGTATTTAAAACTCGTCATTTCTGTTGTGATGATGTCCTTAATTCTTGTCACCCATCTGTTTTATAAAGTGACTGATATTTCAAGGAGAAATTTGACGCTGATCACTCTAAGGACTTAGGGAGTACCTTTTCCATCGGGTGTTTCTCCAAAAGGATTGATTTCCACCTGTGTTGCATCGACTTTAAGGAAGAGTTTGTAAAGCAACTTGATCTGCTCAGCTGCCTGAGAAAAGTAAAAGGGACGAGAACACTAGATGAGAAAACTTACTCAGGCCTGTACAGGATTCCAACCCTTGACCTCTGCGATACCGGGACAGCATTCTACTGGACTGTTCACAGTCCCTAATTTTTCCCTAAAATCGTCAAGATCGATCGAGCGCTATGGGTTACAGGCAGCCATCTTGGTCTAAAATGTTGATGTTGATGTGATGTCTTACAAGATTTTATCAACTTCATAAATGTAGATGTAGATGAATGTTCCGAGTATAGCCTAGGATGAGTGTCAAACCCACTTAAGGGATGGGGGACGTTTTGGGAGAAGGCGAAAAAAAAAATCCCTTCCCTCACCGCAATAAACTCCAATGCCCAACCTTTCGGCACATATGAAGATGGCCACTCGTACTGGTAAGCACTCGATCATGGCGACCTTACAAAAAAAGAGGAAACCGAGAGCAGCCTGGCGCTCTGCAAAGTGAGCTAACACACACACACTGCGAGAAGGTCATTGAATTGGTTCAACCTGCTCCCAGTTGGTTTGTTATCTCAAATGGTAAAGCGCTGCGCCGGTATCACAGAGGTCAAGGGTTCGAATAACTTACAAGCCTGAATTTTTTTCAGGCTTTCTTTTCACAGCTGCAAAAGTTGCCTCCACAACTGCAATGTTCTTCTTTTATAATTTAATTCTTTACCCCGCAGTTCCTATACATGATTCTCATAGGAAACCTGTCGTTTTGAGACAAGTCATTTCAATACAAACTCAAGCTGCCAGTGAAATTGCACAAACATTTTGTCCACTTCAAGTATAGTTTGCAAGTGAGCAAGAGAAATATTTTGGGTGAATATCTTCGTTCTTTAAGTCAAGTACATGGAACTATATACACCTCAAATGAATAAACTTGTATCAAAATGATTTTTATCGAAACAACTTTGTATCGAAACGACCGGTAACCATCTCATACATTCAATATTTCCTTGTATTAACTTTCTTACAAGGTTCTAAAGTCGTTCGACGCTACTTTCTACATTAAACTCCTTATTACCTGTTCTAACATTGGTCCTTTAAATTCTAATTTGTCTGCAAGATATCTGGCATCTACATCAGGAATTCCTTTGAAAATGTCAACAGCTAACTGTTAAGAGACAATGTAATAACAAAAATGAATAAAATATTATACTAAGAAATCTCATCATGCTTACGATTTAACAAAAACCTGAACACTTCATGCTAATGCTGAGTTCTAGCTGTTTTCACCCGCTACTCCTTTGTTGTTCTGTTCTTTATTTACACATAGTTTAGTCCTAAACAGTGTCTTTCTGTCCTCGCAATGGATTAAACAAATAATCAAATAAGTTCTGTAACCTCTTTGTACAGTTGTTAAGCTATATTTTGTCTAGCCTGCGAGGAAGTGTGCCTCAAGAGGACGCGCGAGGGAGCGGCGAAGCACACGCGTCTCCTTTCGCGTGCAGCTTTCAGATGACTTCTCGCAACTTCCCCAAAATTAGAGAGATCACTCACAGGCTAAATTTTGTCCCACAGGGGAACTGTTCTTGGGATTGTTGTCATGACAACTCGCCTCAACATAAAACAGTTAATGGACAGCTAAGTAACTACGAGGGCAATGGCAATGAAAACAGCATTAAAAGTGAATTTGCTTTTTATCAAACTTTTCGCTTTTACTTAAGCTCTAAACAATTTCTAAATGCAGGCAAATTTTCCTGAGTTGGATTCTCCAATGCTGTAACTTTATTCAAAAAGACAAGGAAAATTCGTCATTGTATGTTCACATTCTCCAAAAACATCACATTGCACTTCAAAGTCATGCATTGGATCTCAAAGAAATGTACCAAAAGGGATAATTTTACAAGTGCAAAGATGTTGTTTGCTCATACAACAATTATTGTTTTCATGGCCGCCATTCTTTAAGCTCCCCATTATCTCAACTAAACTGGCTGCTTAATCAATAGCTGTAGCATATCTCTTTCACACACATGTAAAATTACCTTGTGTATATGTTCAGGAGTGGTCTTTGCTACTTCTTCAATGTCCATTCCCCCTTTTGGACTTGCGACTATCACAGGCCCTTGGAATGCTCTGTCCATTAGTATAGCAAGGTATGTCTCCCGGGCAATGTCATAACTCTCTGCAACCATCACCTGATTAGAAACAAGTCATACAATGGACAAAGTAAGGCAAAGAAACCATTTTCATCCCTACCCTGGAATACCGTAAAATTCTGAAAATAAGCCCCGGGGCTTATATTTTTCAAAGACCCTTTTTGAGGGGCTTATTTTTGGAGGGGCTTATATTTGAAGGGGCTTATCTACAGAGGAAAATTTGCATTTCAAAATCGATTGGGCTAGTCTTATAGTTGGAAGTAAATTTATCGTTTTTGCCTTGTATTTGAGGGCAATTTTCCAAGTACAAGCCACAGGGGGAATTATATTTGGAGAGGCAATTTAATGGAGGGTTTTTTGTGTTACCGGTTTGGGGGGCTTATATATGGAGGGGCTTATACATGGAGGGGCTTATTTTCAGAATTTTACGGTAATTTTTAACAATTACATGTATTGAATGAGGATAAGTATGATATGAAGAATTATGGAGATCAAGGAGAGTGTCATCCATTGAAGCTGATTAGCCTGGTTAATTGGCCTGGGTGGATAACACCTCATAACATGAGCTTCTTGGTTTTCATCCATTTTTCTGGCATTACTGCTGTACTTTTGACATCATTTTCCACAATTATTATCACAACTGTCTTCCAAATTTAGTCAATGCTAGCTGGTTATGAAGATTATTATTTTAGCCATGGGATTTCAGCCAATAACAAATGGAGAACTGTTTTAAATGAATAATAATAATTATTGTTATCACTGAATTCAGCTTTTGCATGATGCAAAGAATCAGGCGGATCAAGGAAAATGTTATTGGCCGAGGTACATGTAGATAGCAGCCTCTGAGATTTGCATAACTCTTCACATCACACAAATGCCAAATTTGATTTCTTGTTTCTTTTTTGATCCAATATATCTGTATACTCTTTTCAAGCTTACCTCCTCTTACACTTGACTAACTTGACCACTTGAAACAACAAAGAAAAACAAAATAATTCATTCACCTTGTTCACCAGGACTCCATCTTCAGGTGTCTGTTTTGTGATTAAATTATAGCCTACCATCTGTTCTGTTAGTTCACCAATTTTGTTTGGACTAAAAACAAAAGTTGAAAATAAATATAACATTACATGTACATTACTATAAAAAATGAAAAATATTTAAGGTGCTTGAAATGAGGATCTCTAATCACTTCAAATCCAGTGTCAATTCCACTCTTTGTTTCACCAGCATATTCAAGCCCCAATATCCGAAGACAATTTCTACCAACTGAGTTCCACATATTTCTTTAAAGAACTAATCAGGAGAATTGGACAAATGATCAAAGTATTTCCTCTATGCCAATCATTTTATCAATTTTTGTTACCAGGCTTTTCTCTTGTTGGGAGAAAATTGATGTCACTTGCTTCTTTTTAACAGAAATTAATCTACATGCATCTTGCATAGTGCCCGTATGACTGACTTTTGCAGTTATTACTTACTCTGTTGTCAAATGCACACCACCCTGCAGACCGCTTGTAAACTTTCCTTTTCCTCTTCCACCAGCCAGGATTTGTGCCTTAAGAACAAACTCTTTTGCATCTAACAAGAATAAAAATAAACAATGTCTCACAGCTTAAAACAAATTTGTCTTCCAGGCTATCCCTCTGGATGGGCAGCTTATTCACTTTCACGAGTTACATTGTTACTGTTACACTGTAACATTGTAACATTGTATTATATTAAAAAAAACCTTTTCACTCACTTAATTCCTTAGCAATTTCTACAGCTTCTTTTGCATTTTCTGCAACTTTGAATCTCTGCACGTGGAGACCATTATCGGCCATTAATTTCTTGCTCTGGAATTCTTGAAGGTTCAACCACCTTACAGGCACAACACTTGAAGCTCCAACCTGCACAAAAAATTAATAATAATAAGAAAGCCTAGTGTACATAGATACATCATTCCAGGATCAATTGAGGTTTCTTGGTAACTGACCACCTTCCCTTCCCCTAAGTCATAATTTTTGTCCTAAGTGAGAGGTAAGCATTAATGTTGGCTTAGGGGAGGGGTAGGTGGGCAGTTTCCCAGAAACCTTACTTGATCTTACTTCCCTAGCCGGAGAGGTAATAAAGTTTCCACTGGAGAGGAGGGCTTTACTGGACAAGATTTAGATGCCATGCTTCATGACATGGTTATAGACAAATAATGATTTTTTTTTTTCCCTCTAGTCACAGACATAAACAGCACATTAAAAGGAACAGTCATGTACAATAATCACTGCAAATGTAATTCTCTCAAGTTCAAACAAATCTCAAAATGTACAGCTGTATAATTAGTGCTCCCTAATTATTTAGCATCATTATGCCATGTTCACAGACTACATCTAATTATATAAAAAATGGCTTGTTGGACTTCAAAGAATGACAAAACATGTGACATTTGACAGCAAATTTCTAATCAGCTGATCTTTTTCATAACATCACCATGTGTAGTCGATAAATATGCGCAAAAATGGCAAGCCAGTGAAGAGCAGCTGTTTTCGTTCAAAAGTGTTTGAAAAAAAATCAAAGGAACATGGTGAACGTGCCCTCCACCCCCTTCACGCCCCCTTTTTTCTTGACTGAGGGTTAGGCAAGCCCTCAGACCCTCAAAAAGAGACGTCGAAATTTCAATGAGAAACATCACCCTGCAACTTAAGGCGCATATTATAGCTTCGAAGTGGCAGGATATATTGCAATTTAGCTGAAAATCGACTAATTGGAAGTAACTGCCTCTTGTTCACGCAAAAATTTTTACCGCATGTCAACAAATCGCCTAGTTTGCCACGCACGCACACAATTTCTGCACTTTCCATTCAAGAATTCCAACTTTTGGATATTTCCCCGCTGCCTCAACATTTAAGTTTGGTAAATACAGTCATAAAATAAATATTCAAGTATAAAATATACCTGCGGAGATCGAAGCCAAGATCTTCTGGCTATGCCCGCGCATTTTCTGCAAAAAGTTGTCATGTTACAAGAACGAGAGAAGGCGGCCATCTTGAATTCGGAAAGAACTTGTAAGAGCATGCGCTTCTAAGAAAGTGCTAGTGCAAAATTACTGGAGGCGCGTGAAGTTCTTACTGCGACGTTTAACAGGGAAACGTGAATGAAAACAGCGCGTGAGTGTTCTAAGAACCAATCAACGCGAGAAATAGATCAAAGGCAGTGATTTCTAGTTAAGATCTGTACATGATTTTGAGAGATTTTTACCAGCTGCTTGAAGAAATTTGATCAAGTTCAGGTTGCAAGGTTTTCATTGTAGCGGTGGTTTGATTAGCCAGTCCAACATTTCGTCACACTGCAAACAATCGAATATCTGTGTCATCCAAGCGTTTATGATACTGCAATGTTATAACCAAGCATGTACGATGGAATGGACAAGCCGTTATTTGGCGAAGCAAGGCCCAGGGTATGTGCAATTTCGCAATGTTTTGAAGTCGTAACTGCGCGGCAGTGTTTGAGAGATATCTGAGAGAGAGGTCACGAGCTTTTACAATACGACAAAACTCCGGTAACTGAATAACGAAAAGTTATCGTTTGTTGTGACGGGAGTACATACTTTATATCGACGTCCATACATTTACAATAACTGGGCCAAAAAAAAAATACCAGAGTGTTTGTTGTGCCAAATTAAAGGGGCTAATTACATGTAAGCATATCATATCCTTTCATAGTAATAATTTCTTTCATAAAGTTCTAAGATTACTGGAAGTTAGTGGTGAGAGCAAAACTTGTCTGCATCGTTATTTTTCATGTATAGCATGGAAATCCTGATGAAAAAATATTTGAAAATCTAAAAAATTCTTTTCTTTTTTTTGGTACTGGTAGTATATATATTTTTTGATACAAGGATTTGATGTCAATTGCCATATTTGGGTATAACATTTCAGTGTTTTCATTTACACACGTGTCATTTTGTTTTCCTCTTTTGGTTAGAGGGAGTTTGGGGGTGGTGTTACTAAATATATGGCATACATGTGAGTTGACCCCTTGGCCGGGTTGTTCGAAGCTGGGTTAAGATACCATGGTTAGTGCGAAATTTGAACTCAAATATGAGAGCTCAAAAAGCAAATTTAGTTTAATTCTCTTTGCCTACAATTTGATGATTGGATACTCTAAAAAGAATAAAGAAAAATTATCCGAGAAAGTGCTTTTGATAACAAGAAAAAGAAACCCGGGTTAAAATTTAACCTCAGGTTAGAGCTAACCGCTGTTCGAACAACTGGGCCCAGATTTACAGAGCAATGATATTAATTTCGTACTGTGTATGTTAGATCATTGTAAAATTATGCAATTAAACTTTTTCTTCTTCGCTTTTCCTGAAAGGTTGCTTGTAACGCGAGCTACATTTCAATACATCCTGCTCATTAACCCTGTTTTCTATTGTTTGTTAAATTTTACTTTTTATTTACTTATTGTTCTTCTTTGTTGGCAGGATCGATACTTGAATTATTTCATTGGAGGTGCTACCGTCCTTTTAGTTTCTGTAAGTACTGTCCTAGGCCAGGAAAGCAAAATACACGTGTATTGTATCCTCATTTTTCAAGACACAAGTAACATAACAGTACATGAAGAACCACTAATGTAAATGTAATGTAAATGTAAATGTAAATGTCGCGATTGAGAGGACAAACATACATGTCCTCTTTACATAGCTTTTTTGCAGTGGGCTCGGACATCAGCATACTAAGGGCGCCGTTGGCAGCCGCTATCAGTCCATTTATGAGTCCACTGAACCCTCCCAACCCATGATGAGTGATGATGTAAGTGATGAAGATAGACCACAACTCCGGGAACTACATCCCCTAGTCTTTTCGAATAGTGTGTGGGTTCTTTAACATCCCACAGAGCTATATGTGAACAAGGTTTGTGAGACGGGACCTCCGGTTTATCGTCCTTATCCGAGAAGACTTGAAAGTCTAATCATTTGCAGATGTCATTACAAAAGACAGCACTTTCTCCTCAGTTATTTTTAAGACCCTGAGTGTTGGTCCGGCCAGGATTCGAACTCGCGACCTCCCGCTCAGCAGACCGGCGCTCTCCCAACTGAGCTAACCGGGCAGCGGTTAAAAAATGTAGATGTATTATTACACTAGTTGACAGTCCTAAGTCAGTAATAATTTTGTTTTGCAATTCTTGAGTCTCATAATGCAAGCCACTCAAATCTTGAGTCGCATTTAGATATACAGCTATATTAAAGAGCCAGCTGCTAGCTAATTTTACTGATTAAAAGAGAGTTTATCACTGTTATATTACCTATACGGGTATGTGCCGCCCAACGGGGTCATGATTTTGAAGCCCCTGATTTAGAACGGGGTATCCATTTCAGAGGCATTTTCTAGAACGGGGTATAATATTTCGAAAGCACGAAAACTCCAGTTTTGTAAGCAGCTATTTGAAATTATTCAAGGACAGATTGCTTTTAAAAATATGGTTCAATGCGTTAACAAGCAAACTGTGGCACTTGTTGCACCCTAGAACGGAGTATAAAAAATTGGCCCATTTCTAGAGGGGTATCAGTTTTAGGGTGAATTCTAGAACGGCGTATAAAAAATTGGCCCATTTCTAGAACGGGGTATCAATTTTAGGGGAATTTTTTTCAGAACGGGGTGCCAATTTGGAGTCCCGGGCGGCACATAGCCACCCAAAAAATACCCGAGTGCCCCCCCCCCCGGGGTAGTAATTGACTAATAATTATCACATGTAAAGCCTGGTCGGTTTTTCCTTAGTTTTTCAGTCCTAGACATGATAATATTTTTTCCTTCTTTTCCAGGAGACACTTATTAGTTCATTGGTTTTCCCGGGCTTTCCTCCTCCTGCCATCAATGTATTTCTTGCTTTTATTATCGCATTAATCTGCGTATCAGAACTTACGCTGGTGAGTAGAATCAATAACAAAAATTTGAAAGTAATTTATATTTACTTACATGCAGATACATTTCCCAGTAATCTGATTGGTCAACTTTGTCTGAGTGGCCTCGGTTACAGTAGTCGCACTGTATAAACTGCTAGAAAACTGCTACACAACCGGGTCAAACTTCTCAAGATAATTACTCAAGACAGATCCTTGCTATAATGAAGTTGCAACCTTCCACGAGTTTGTGCTTGTGAGTTCTCAAGGTGATTGATACTCGTAGCAGAAAAATCATTTCCCGCATTTTGCCCTCCTTGCTAATCCAATTTCATTTTCTTGACAAGTGGTCTCTTTTTTTCCAGATTTATTGGTACAGACAAGGTGATGTTGATCCCAAGTTTAGAAAGATGATTTACTTCAACTCATTCACAACTGTTTTGCTTTGCATATGTGCAAATGTTTACTTTCACAAACACTTGTCCTGACAGTAGCTGACTTTTTAAGTTCAAGAACAGTATTTTAATAATTATAATAATAATTATCATTAATGATTAATTAATATTTGTATCATATCCAAGGCTGTACTCTAGCAGCGCCTGATGGCCCCTGGTGCCTTAATTTTGCTCCTGGGCTACTGGAAAATCTTAGTACAAGTGTTTTTATGGAAATCATAGGTTATAGGCACCCTGGATTTTAAGGGTCTCAGCACAGGGTTCCCTGCAATATCTGTGAGAGCACAGCCTTGTTATCTCTTTAAGAGCCTGAGGCTCTTCTGAAAATGGAGTTTTCAATGATAGTTAGTTAAGGGGTGGATGAACAAATGAATTCACTCTTGGTGCAGACAGATCAAAAAAGCGTTCAAATGCAGCATCCAAAACATAGGCTAAAATCCAGTGTGGAATGAGTAAATTGAAAGGAATTTTTGTAAAACTGCTTTGATAATAAATCATGTTAAACGGCATACAATATATATATGCATTCATATTATACATGTAGTAGACATTTTGCTTTTAAATGTGCAGTACGTACTTACGTGTATGTATAAGGAATGAGCACAAAGTGTTGTTTTTGTTCTCTTCCTTGACCCTGGTAGAATGGATGCACATGTGTAAATGCTGTGGCATAATTTTACCACTGATTATGAAGTATCTTTTTAAGCCATGAAAAAATGAGAAATTCCATACAATGTGGTTCCCTGTTCTTGGCACTAAAGTGGGTAGTGACACGAAGTAAGAAAAGAACGAAGCAGACAAGATGGCAGTCCAGGAGAGATGAGAGGACAATAATAATGATTAATAGTTCATTAATATTTGTATCCTATCCAAGGCTGTGCTCTTGCAGCGCCCAATGGTTTGTGTCTGCTATACCCCTTAACCTCATTCCCAGGGTCATGGGACAAGATTTGTGAATGTCCCAAATGACTGCCTGTAGGTCTCTGAGAGTGCCTCAGGTTTTAGCTTGATGGGAAATGATGTGCAAATATAACGACTAAACAGGTACTTCTTGTCGAGCACAGAAATATCATGAAATTGTTGTAGGCAACATGGACACCTGTTGTTAAATTCTTTGCAAAGAACAGAAACATGATTAGAAGAATCCTCCATTCTCATTACTTTTTTGTCCCGTTTTTTCTTTCTTCCTCTTCTTCTTCTTTCTTTTTTTTCTTTTTGTTCGTTCTGCTCTCAATTTCGCGCCGCTTTCCACTACCTACAGAAAGTCTATAGCTGGTAGCCGGCTTCTTTCGGACGAAGAGGCTTTTTGCTGTCATTCACAGCAACATGATTTGTACATTAATTTTTTTCAAAGAATACCAAAAAACTGCTCCATTTCCTTGTTTTTCATATATAATTGACAGAGCCAATTTTAAAAAATGTATTTCCAAATGGCACTTGCTTTCATAATAAAATAGACAGAAAAAAAAGTTTCTACGCAATTATCTTAGCAACTCTATTTATCACACTTTGTCAACAGTGGAAATAAAGTATGTTTCTTAATTTTTTGTCAATTTCTCTCGTTCGATCACTATCACTGTCAGGATTAGTGCTCATTTCAACTGTTGACAGTTTCGGGCCTAGACCTGAATCGTCCCCAGTCGTCTCGCATTATTAGTATTTGGCGTGGAAGACTAGAACGGGCTCTTTAACGAAGGGGATGACGGGAAGGGAGAAGGGAGAAGGGGCTCCTCTCGCCTTCCCTGCATCTTCCCCGCGCGCATAACCCAAGCGCTTCCTTAGTAAATAATAGGTTGATTTAGCAACAGAACGGGAACGTCAGTTGACGACGGCGCGCGCAGATCAAACTACCGGCTTGACCAATGGCAGAGCGGCAAATTGGGCACCGGAAGTCGGGTTTAGTCCTTTCCGCGCGCTTTCCCGTCGTCAAATGACGTTCCCGTCCCGTTGCTAAATCAGCCTAATTAATGAGTAGAGACAACTTAGAGATGACTAGGGACGAGCTCAGGGCCTAGACCAGATAAACGGGCTGTGGTGGCCTTGAATTTATGTTGGTGGAGTTTCTTTACTGGAGAGCGAGCGGTGAAACCACTAGTCACGAGAATTCATTCGCTCGTCTTGCGTGGCTCTGAGGAAAAAAAGATGACTGATTGGGAGTCTACATCAAGGTACAGTAAATAGGCCACTTGTACGATGACCTCATTTTACTACTGCAACCAGAATCCTTCAGGGTTTCGCTTTCTTGTGAAAATAAGGGCTTTTGTTATTTAATCCTCGCTGGGATTACCAAATTTCAATACGAAAGGAAAAACGTAATGGATTCTGGTTGTAGTAGTAAAATGACGCCATCGTGCAAATGGTCTATTCTAAACATTTTTACGTCTCGCCCACGCGTAGTCCCTAGTCCCTAGCCTATAGGCGTCTTCCCAGCCCAAATCAGTCAATGCATGGCGGTAACATATGTGCACTGTAATGAGGCCTAGGGACTGGGCAAGGATGTAAATGTAGAACCAAGACACCCTTGGATTCAGGATTCCACTCTATGGATTCCAGGTACTGGATTCCAGATTCTGGAGCCGACTTGTGAATTCCAAAGTCCAAGATTCTTGATTCCAAAATTCTCCAATTAATTAAAGTTGTTGCATTTTTTTCAGACTTACCAAAGCAACGATATCACCCGTTATTAAAGTCAAAATTTTCTTTTCTGCGAAAAAAAAATGATTTTGTTACTTGAATTTACCTGTATCCCTAACCCAGGCCAAAAAAAATTGTTTGCATGATCAATAAATGACCGTTTTCTGCTGGAAAACTAGCCACAAGTGCAAATTATTCTAGGATTGTTGTTTTTGTTGTTTTTGTTTGTTTTTTTTTTTCGGAAAATTTACGAAAATTATGCTCTTAATTGACAAATTATTCCAAAAATTACGCTAGCACAATCAATATGAAGGGCCTGCCTAAATATCACATGTAGCCTCAACCTCGTTCCCAGGGTTCTCTCCTACCCGCCCTACGGAGTGAGAGAGGGCGGGTAAGAGAGAACCCTGGGAACAAGGTTGAGGTAGCCTTACATGGAAAACGAAACTTAAATAAATGGACTTGAAAAGTGTAAAATTCCTCAAAAATGTGCAAATTATTTAGCTTGCTCACCCAAAGTCTTTGCACCATTTTAATCATGTTACACTTGGGTGACCTGTGAAACACAAAGAGGCCTGTCAAATGCCAGGCCACCAAGGAACAAAGGCCAGGTTACTAAGCCTCTGTTAAGGGAGACGAAAAAACGAGATAAATCCTTCTGATTTCAAGTTAAAATGCCGGTCGAAAATCTCGAAGATGAAGGTTTGCCTAAAAATCCTAACCTTGAGTTAGCAGCTTGGCGTTTCACCCTTAACAATCCAGAAGGAAAAGATAAGGAAGATGCAAAGAAACGGCTTATGGACGCCATCAAAGAAAACGGTATGTCACGATTGTTTTGTGCTCTGTCATCTCGATCACTCGATCACATGTTGAACGAACACTTCGATGTCATGGGAGTAAGAAATTTTGTTGCTGTTTATTTGTTAGGCGTCTAGGCAATCAAGGAAGTTACCAAGGAAATAAAGATTTTTTTTAAATAATTGATTATAACAGGTCTATCCAATGCAAGCATTATGTGTAGTGACTAAGCTCACAAAATTTGTCCCTTCTGATATCTAACTAATTTCAGGAAATAATAATAGTAGCTCTGACGCTTGTGCACTCACTGAAGCACTAGATCGAGGATGTGTTATCTACATGTATACCTTGAAAAACAGCTGAACTGCCATGCATTGTCTTGCTGACATCACGCCTCCAATAAAATTGAAGCATCTATGCCAAATATTATGTCGTGACAATTTTTATTTTGAAAAAATTAACCCGCGCTTGAAACTCTTAACAGGCCATCACATCTGTGATTACTTAATGAAAAAAAGAATGATGGCTTTACAACAAATGATTGACAAAAAAATACATAATTGTTTATTTAGACGATTTTGTCCAGTTTTTACCCTGGACAAATTTTGTCCGTGGCAGATTTTCCCGTTTGGGACAAAATTTGTAAAATTGTGACAAACCATCTGCATTTAATTTGTTAATCGTGTTGATGACAGAAATTAATTTGTCTAAAGATAAAGATTTTTTTGCTAGTGTGGATAGGCACTTGGTGGGTGATAAAATAATAATGTCACTCATCCAATAATTTTCTGTCATTGGAGAATTGGTGTAAAACTTTGTAATTTGGTCAGTGCATTAGGGCATGATGAAAAATAAGCTGAGAGATTTAGGCCAATTAGTAATGGACTATTATTATGAATAATTAAGGGAAAAAAGTTCTGTACAGCTGTAGATCTTCAGATGTCAAATTACAACACAGATGTAGGTCTCCATTTTCTATAGTCCTTGATATCATCATTAACATAATTTTACATGTATGTGATCTGTGAATCACTTGACAAAACATCCCTGTAGATTGCAGGGTGGTCACAGCTGGCATCCCTGTTCAATGTTAGAGCCCAACAATAAATTTTGATGGCTTCCCCCTTCTTTCCTGGAATTTAAAGCCGTTATTTTAAATACAAACTAACTCTTTCTTGGCTAGTATCAATAAGTTGATTTTTGTGCATATCCCTAATGTAGACATGGCACCACTCTATGAAGAGCTTTGCACGGAGCTTAAATGGCCTGTTGATAAACCTCTTCTGGCGAAGATGCAGGCAAACAATGAAGAGAAGTTAAAAAAGCTTGACGAAACCCTCAAAGATGCCGAGGAAAATTTAGGAGAGACAGAAATCAGAGATGCATTGTATGCTAAGGCAGAATATCTCTGTCAGATTGGGGATAAGGTTTGTACCGATAATGGCTTTGATTTTCTTTTCTGTTAGTAGGATCCCTTATGATTACTACTTGTCATCATTGATGAGATGAGTTAATGCCTTAAGGGTTTTATTGCTCTGTTGTGATGATTATTTTTATATATTTTAAAAATGTATATTTTTTTTCATTTCCAGGAAAAAGCCCTGACTGTGTTCCGCCTTGCATATGAGAAAGCAGTAGCCCTTGGATACAAGCTGGATATCATATTTTATCAAATTCGCATCGGCTTGTTTTACCTTGACAATGACCTTATCACACGGAACATAGATAAAGCCAAGACGTAAGTACAGGCTATCGTACGGTTTCTTACTTAACTAAGTGATATCATCTTTACTCAGAGGCTGCTAGTATTGTGTGGACAATTTTATCTTTAATCCCTCTGTTTCAAACTGCTGACAATAACATTTTTTTACATAACTGAAGTACATATAAATGGTCATAAGATTGTAGCTTATGCAATTTTATTGGCACATTATAAGTTACAAGATGATAAGATCACCATATTTGTCACTTGTACCAGTATCTTAGATTAGCTAAAATAGTTGTTAAAAATGATTGAAAAATAGTGATAATTATTAACGGATACTGTATAATGTATACTATAACTTGTTTTCTATCAGCCTTATAGAGGAAGGTGGTGACTGGGATCGCCGTAACAGACTCAAAGTGTACCAGGGAATCTACTTTTTATCGATCCGCGACTTCAAATCTGCTGCTAATAACTTCCTAGACAGTATATCTACTTTCACATCATATGAGCTGATGGATTACAAGACGTTTGTGACGTATACTGTACTTGCAAGTATGATTGCACTAGAGAGGGTTGACCTAAGACAGAAGGTTGGTTACCACGAGTCAGCTTCTTAATATTCAACTTCTCAATTCTGAAGTTATGAAATTTAATCTTCATTTCCTGTATTATCATAATACAGTCTCTTAAAGCAACCACCCATCCAAAACACCAAAGATTTCCAAGTCAAAACCTTACAGTTGGAACCTCTTGTAAATAATCGATTCCTGTATGCAACTTTGACCCCATTTTTGGCTGACAGTTTAAATAATTTTCCATTTAAACCTCTTGTAAGCAACCACTTGACACAGGATCTGATCTCTCTGTTCAATGTGTGTATTACAACTGTAGCTATGCTACTTTTATTTAGAGAAAAAGAAGGACTATCAGGGCTGTGCTCTAGCAGAGCCCGGTGGCCCCTGGCACCTAACTTTTGCCCTTGGGCGACTAGAAAATCTCAGATTTTTCATACAAATCATATGCTGGGCACCCTAGATTTTACAGTTTCAGAGCACTGGGCTCCCTTCAATTTTCCTTAGAGCATAGCCTTGACTATTAGCAACAACATGGAACTTAACATAATTTTATTGCAACTTACTTTGCTGTACAAAGAACAGATACATGTACAACAATAATGTTGTTTCTCATCTGTAGCAGTTTTTTACAAAAATGTGTATTTTAATAGTTTAATAAAGTTAGTTGTTGATTTGTGGTATTAAAACCACTTCCTACTTTGCAAATGACAAAGATATTTTCATGTTTAGGTTGTGAATGGTGCTGAAATCTTAGAAGTTCTTCATCAGTTGCCAGTTGTAAACCAATTCCTGACATCCCTATACAACTGCCACTATGCTGATTTCTTTGTAGCCTTGGGTAGGAAAGCTCTACTTTTTTTTTAAATCCCTTTATAAAAATTAAATTAAACCCGTGGGGAAGGTGCCTTGTAAACCTGAAGGGAGCCTCAAGCAAACCACCAGGCACCCTCACACTGAGAACCTCAGTGGAGAAAAAATTTAATGTGCAGATATTTACCAAAAAACATCGAAAGCGAAGGAAGGGCTGGGAGCAAAGAGGGCTAAAGCTACATGTACTGCACGTGAAAGCAACGTGAACGAAGTGATTGACCTCAGCAAAAGCACTGTACAATAATTATTGCTAAAGCCCAAGACCACCCTACTTAATAATATGATTGGTGATCAATGAACTTCAGAAGACCACTTGCAAACATTGCCTGGTGTTTAATCTCGCATAAATTTTGCAGTTAGCCAAATAGTATTTTGCTGGTGTCACAATGGCTTGCATACTTACAGATGTGTGTACAGATAAAGATCAAAAATGATGATGCTGTATTTTCTCTCTCCGCAGCACAAGTAGAAGATTTTCTCAAACAAGATCGCTTGCTCTATCCACACTGTAGATACTACATCAGGGAGATGAGAATACATGCCTACACCCAGCTGTTGGAGTCATACCGCAGTCTCACATTGCAGTACATGGCTAATGCATTTGGAGTTAGTGAGGAATTCATTGATAAGTAAGAAAAGCACCATTTATTTAAAACAGATTTAAGCTGAATTCCGTTGCTGAATTGCTTGTTACCAGCTCACTTCTAGCCTTGCTTAAAGCTTATTTACACAGCAATTTTTGTGTTTACATGTACAGTGTATGTGGTAATTTTTTCACTTTGAAATTGCCATCGTTTTGAACCTGCTGGAAATTTGATGTGATTTATCAGTGATTTCGTTGATTTCCCCACCCCTCTCCCCTTACTGAGTAGTTTATCACACAATTAAAATAAATATTTTCAAGAGAAATTCCTTTTCAAATATTTTATGTACAGTTCTTACTGTATGCATGTATGTCACTCTGAGTACATGTAGTACTGTAACAATGTTGAAATAATTTTTTATGTGTGTCAAACATTGCCTGCAGCAAGAGGAGCCTCCAATCCTAAAAGAATGAATGAAATGCACCGAACACAATTTGATCATGCATGTTTGGTTCGTAATTCATTAACTCATAATATATTTAATCAAACGTGTTTTGACCATCTACCTGTATCACATGAATCTTAATGTAACCAAAGCACAGCCTTTCAGCATAAGCATTTTGACCTTCAATCATGGTGGCCTGCACTCTGCAACCTTTGGTTGTTATTAGTTATTACATGTATTAAATTAATATATTTTTTTAATTTTTAGAGAGCTTTCAAGATTCATTGCCGCTGGAAGATTGAACTGCAAAATTGACAAAGTTGGAGGTGTTGTTGAAACTAACAGGTAAGTTTGTTTAGATGTACAATAATGTGCTTCTGATACTTAGCACTGTCACCACTCTTACATGCTCCCAGTTCTATTTTAGAGTTTCCTTGTAGGAGGATGGTACAGGTCTGTCATTTAAAGAATTTATTGTGTCTTGGGACAAATTTTTTATACAAACTGTTGTTGTTTTCTTTTTTGTGCACGAGATGTGCAACTGAAACGTGTATGTGTAGAAAACTGTAGAAAACTCCTTCATTGTTGGCAGGTTAATGTAGTGTTATTCATCCATTCATTCATTCATTTCTTTATTTATTTATTTACTTATTTACTTAAGTATTAACATGGTGACTTTGTTTCTTTTCAGGCCTGATCACAAGAACTGGCAATACCAGGTATGACCATTGTTTTTGACCCTTTAAACTTTTATATCAAAATATAAATTCTCATCTACTGTTACTATACTTTTTCCATAGAACTACTGTGGTGCATCAAGTATATGATTTACCTTGTGTGATCATTATTTTTCTGAATTCTCATGCTCACTCTGTTGTATAAAACAAATATATAACAAGGAGAAATTATATGCTGATCACTAAAAGAGTATTGAACAGTCAATTAAGTATTTTATCGCCCTCTGTCGTCATTTTAAAACTGTCTTTTTGTTTTATTTTGTTTGTTTGTTTTTTGCTGTAGGCTACTATAAAACAGGGTGATCTGCTATTGAATAGAATCCAGAAGCTCAGCCGAGTGATAAACATGTAGCCAAGACGAACTGCTTTTTCAACCTTCTCTTGTCTGCGAGATGAAAGAATGGCTACTACCGTTCCAAGTTATTTATGCTTTTGTAAACAGTGCATATCTCAAATGTAGACATTTACCTTTCAAAAAATAAAACCTTTTTTATGGGATGGTATTTTGTTTGAAGTTAATTTTAGGTTTATTTTTTTTCCTTTTTTGTTGATGGGCGAGAAGAGTCATAGGGAAGCGACATGATGCCAATCTACCCTATAATCTCACGCTCTTCGAACCCTCCAAGACACCCTCCAAGGGATCATCTAGTACTTACATTCTCGTCCCTAGATCTCCCGGGATTTGTTGACCACTATAGCCAGGGAACAAAGGCTTTATCTCCGTTGAAATTTGTTTAGACAAACATATTAAAAACGGAAGTAAAACTGCTTAAAGTGGAAAACATCACCGGCTATTTGGTGTGGTTTGGATAGCCGGGAAACGTTGACGACTAAATAACCTCCACATTAAGAGAGCTTTCAAGAAAATTGTTTAATGTAGATGCTTGGGTTCAATTGTAATTTGGGTTTAAATTTCATTTTCCTTTGTTTTTGAGATTAATATTACGGTAATATTACAATCAAAATTCAAAACACTACATATTATATATACATATCAAATTAAGTTCAGTTTAGCACCTCTAGGAATAAACGAATGTTTGTGCCTAACAGTGCGTGAGACAGGTATTCTGAGGTGCGCTGGGTTAGTCTTACAAGATCTTAGATTATGGCCATGATCCACTGGCTTGTCTAAAAAACGTTTGCAAGGATGTGCTTCAGATTCTAGGATACGTTTAAATTCTTTCCTCGTCAAATTCTGACGCCTAGTTACAAGTGACAATTACTGTGTTTGAAAACAAAGGAAAATAACATTAAGACCGAAAATAGAATTGAACCGCGACATAATCGTGCCAGCTGTAAGAAAAATATTATGGATAATTTTTAAAAGCTCTAGAGTGCCACGCATTTAAAGTTTAAACTATGTTTTTTCGCGATAAGTTAGTTTGAAAAATACGCTAGTTTCCCCTCCCCACCCATCTAAGGTTGTAAACGATTTTCCCGCCAAATGCTCCGTGTATCCAAGCGTAGCAGCAGGTTGGCGACACGTTTCTCGGTGATCAAACAAATTGATCAAACATCGAAATTTACATTTTGCATTTCAATGACATGCTTTGTTTTTGTTGAGCACAATATTTTTTATACGCTTCATCGAGCTCAGATCGCCATGTTTTGCTGCTGCATCTAAATTAAACGCGTTCTTTGGTTGTGTATTTATTGAGAATACACTCAAGCATTAGTATGCAAATCGTTTCAGAAGAAGGATCGTTCAAGAACGCAGATGGAAAGAAAATTTTTACCAAATATTGGAAACCAAGCGACAAGAAACCCAGGTGAGCATTATCAGTAGTTTATTTCTTGAAGTTCAAATCACGCTCTTCAAAAATGACGGCTAACACAGCTGAATTAGCGCAAAATCGACCTTTACAATTCTTTTTGTCGCCAAAAGAAGTGTATTTTGCTTTGCTGCATTCAAAAGTGCATCGACCTGGCTAAATGATTAATCAAGTTATTTTTATTATAAGCATTATAATAGAAAGGTTTATGCTAATGAAGAGTCAGAGCGATGGAATGAAATCAAACGAGCAAAGTAAAGTCAACTTGAAAAAGTCATTTAAACGAGTGAAAATTAAAAAAGCACATTTAAACAATTGAAAATCGCCCGTCGCAAACTGATGGGCAGCTCAATTTTTTCTTATCTCGCCTTAACTTGCATCAGCTCGAACAATCTCGCAGCGAGTTAAGGTTCCAGAGTAGGCCGTTGACTTTGTGCTGGAGTGTTAAGCCGGGCCCTGGTTTCCATATGATCTGAGGATCGGTACAATCGTTGAAAAAAATTCAGCGAACTGAATGATAGCATCTATCTATTATTACTTTCAATAGCGAAATCAGTTAGTCGGTAGGTGGTGAGCAAAAATATGGTCATCCGAAGAATACGAAAATTGAAGAAAATAAACTAAACCTTCGTATTAAAAGAAATTTTAATTGTAATACATCATGCAGTTAATTAATCATTTGCTGTGCTCGGAAGGATTCTTAATGATTCATAGCACAAAAACTGAAAGTCTCTTGATCATCGGATAACACAAATAACAACAGATTTTCGTGGTTATTTCCTCGATAGAGCATTGGTCTTTATCTCCCATGGATATGGAGAGCATTGTTCACGATACGAGAGGCTTGGACATGCTTTAGCTGAACAAGGCTACCTCGCCTTCAGTCAAGATCACGGTATGTCCCACCCCAGCCGCGTTTAATCTTTTCCGTGATCCAGTAACTGCATCTAATCATACTTTCTCGGGAAGAGTCGGGGGGGTGGGGGTGAGGGTGATAAACGTGTATTGCAGAACCTTGTGAGCTCGGGGAGGTGGCCCTTTAAAATGTTAGGGATTGGAGGGAGGGATAAAGATAGAGTAGAAAACTGGACCATTATTTTTGGAATTCAATTTATGATGTTATGGGCACCTGGCGAATACAAAGAAAGACAGGAAATAGTGTGATATAACCCTTCAAGAGCTAATTTTTGACAATAAATCTTTCTGTTAGTTGGTCATGGTTAGAGTGAAGGAGAAAGAGTTCAAATATCAGATTTTTCCATTTACGTCAGAGATGTTTTTAAACACATTGACCAAGTCACAGCAGACAACAACACAGGCATACCAATATTTATGTTTGGCCACTCAATGGTATGTAATGTTATAAAAACGTTATTGGAACTCTGTCCCTTTTTTTCGTTTTTGTTTGTTTGTTTGTTTGTTTGTTTGTTTTTTGTTTTGTATTTGTTTTTAGGTTCTCGGGTCCCCTAACCGAGTCGATCACAGGAGTACAAGTATATGTTAATTACGATAAAGACCCCAAGCCCATCATGCTTTGCGGTTGTTTCGTAATGTTGCGCTCTTGCCGGTTTGTTTTGGTAACATAGATAGCCTGTGAATTTCAGGTTTTCTTCTTATTAATTCTTTTCAAGTCTGGCTTCAATGCACTCAAATCACATATTACGAAAACACAAATACAGTCGAACCTCCATATGCGATCACCTCTCGTAAAAGACCACCATCCGTAAGCGACCGCGTTAGCGTGGGGCTCAGTAGCGGTTTAAAGACTTCCCATTGTTTTTAACCTCTTAAAAAGCGACCACTTAACGGTTTGTCTGATCCCTTTTGTTCGCTGTGTTTAATCAATGCTACTCAGAGTATACGAAGAAAAGTACCAACATGGAACTGAGAAAGAAATCGGTGCAATCTATTTTATCTGCTTTAAAGTATATGTGCCCGGAAATCTAATCCAAGAAAGTGTCGTAAGCGACCAACCTCCTGTAAATGGCCCCAAAGTCTCAACCTTTACAGTGGTTTGCTTGCGGAAGGTTTGACTGTACCCGTGAAAAGTTCATGTTATGATATTATTAATATTATGCATTATTCTTTAAAGGGTGGTACAATAGCTGTTCTTAGTGTTATTTAGAGACCTTATTTCTTTGCGGGTGCAATTTTTAGTGCACCAAGCATAAAAGTGGAAGCCAATCCTTGCACGGTAAATTATTGTTCCACTTGCTACAAATAGTAAACGAAAACACAATGCAAAGACTGTTTCTCTTTTCTTAGGGTACCGTCAATGCAAAAACAGGATACAACAAACCCAAAACAGAAAAACACTACCAGAAAACAGAAATACAAATCCCAAAACAGAAAAACACTACGTACCTGAGAAAACAGAAACATAAACATCCCAAAGCGGAAACACATACAAAACAAAAATACAAAATTGAACCACAAAACTGAAAGAGAATTTAAAAATACAAACTATGATCAAAAACCCCAAAACAGAAACAAGGAAATAATGTAAAACAATAGTTTCTCATGATTCATCGTCTTTTAATTATCTTAACGCGCGATCCAGCGTTTTTTTTTTTAGGGAGGGCATGATCACAGGCTATAATAGACCATTCCGAGTTCCAAAAACTCTCACTTTAAAACTGAGGCTGAAAGTAAGGTAAAACGGGCAACAAATAGCTGCAGAACGAGTCCGAAAGTGATGTTGCGCGTTTTATTACCCGCAAATCAAACCTGTCTTGTAGCAAATAAGATTCAGTGTTGCAAGTTGCGGGAATACTGACTCCTGATTGGATAAAATTACGCGGGAGTCACGCCATACACAGGAGTTACAAAGTTCTAGTGGTGGAGGGAAGGGAATATGATGATTATTTTAATAGGAGATTATTTTATCACGAGTCAAGTTTTAAAACCTTGTCTTCTAGGGGGAGGTGCGAAATTAATACAGTAGTGATTGTTCCATATCATAAAAACGCAAAAAAAAAACAAACAAAACGAACTTGGCCAATATTCAGCTATCTGGACCTCACGCTTGGTTAAAAGAGACCTTTAGATTCGAGGACGAGAACTACTAGGAGTACGACTTTCGCTCTTCTTAAAAAGAAAAATAGACACCCGGAAAGCTCCATTGTACTTTTGATTCACCAGAAGAGTTAGCACTGTTACTTATTCAGGGAGTTTAAGCCCTCTCCCAACCGAAAATTATAAAACTTAGCTTGTAACATTTGATAACTTGTTTTCGTCACAACGACATTCTCGGCAAAACTCGTAGTAGAATGACGACGGCTATCACGTTTTCCCGCCAAAATGACGCTGGTTCATGCGCGCGCACTGCTTAGCATTAAGAAAATCTCGTATTTGTAGTCGTCCTCGTCTTAAAAACTAAAGGTCTCAAATAACGTATATAACGCATGTATCTTATAGGTTTGTATAGGAAGAATAGTGTCATGGATAATGCCCTCGTACCAGATCAGGCCACCGATTGATCCTTCACTCTTAAGCCAGGATCCTACACAGGTGATACAAAACTATAGGGAAACTCAGCCGAGGTTACTTTCGCAAAGAGTTCTGGGATTGTTACTAAGGACAGAGAAAAAGATTGGCCAATAGCTGACCGGCGTGACCCCAGTAACAATCCCAGAAACAATCGCGGGTCAAATAAAATTCCAATAAAATTCCTTTCTCGTTTCTAAAAAGGCGAATAACACAACTGAAAACTGCTCTCTTTTCCTGAGTCAAAGGAAAGGGACTTTCGTATGCATTTTATCCGCGTTTCCGAAAAAAATTTCCACGACTTTCGAACAATGCCCAAAATATTCAGGTGATTTCTGGAGGTTGCCGAATGACGCAGTGTCCATTCCCTCAAGTCGATCGCGACACTCGACATTTCGTACCACTGACTGGAATATTTTGGGTGGAGATTGAATACAAGTTTTTCAGCTTAATGGTTTATGACAAGTCGTTCGGAATTGTGAGTCATGAATTGATGTTTTCCATCCTTCGTGATTGTACAATGAACTAGTATTGTTGGTGGCCGGCGGTTCTTCGAGGGTCATTATATCCTGTTCAACTAATTAGCCATATGATTATACCCCCGATGGGGGAGGGCGGGGGAGCTACTCAACAACGTTTTATGTGGTTATGTACCACCTCGAGACTCCTTACACATTTATCGTTGAAGGAGCTCGTCGTGTTTGTTTAGGGTTGGATCCTCCCCATAAAAATTTCAATGTCACTCAATTCCTTGTACGATCCATTTAGTAACCAAACGTTTTACAGAAAGTCGAATTTCCTTGAGTAACGGGCGTCCCTCGCGCCTTCTACTCTCTCGCGCTTTACTTGTGGCAAGTCTGGGACTTCAATAACACAATGCACCTTGTTTATTACTATTGTTTTAGGTTGAAAAGTATGCCAATGATAGCCTAAACTGGCATGAGGGAATGAAAGTTAGATGAGTGGGAGCTATATTAGACGCAATGAATGAAATCCAGGGGAACTTGTCAAGGCTTACAACATCTTATCTACTTGTCCATGGTGATGGAGATCAATTAGTGAAGATTGACGGTTCACATTACTTACATGAGAATTCTCCCAGTAACGACAAGACATTTAAGGTACACGAATGAGCTGCTTTGCTAACAGCACTGAGCGAACTAATAGCCTCTCTATGGGTATTTCCGACGAATAGTTCGGGCGCTTGACGGTATATCATGATGCTTATGTGGTGTTATTGCCCTGCCCGTAGCCTGTGTGGAAGCTCTCCGGGGCGCTCTGGCGGCGAGGCGGGAAAAGGAAGGAGAGCTTGCAAATACGTCCCTGGAATTTGAATATCTGCATCGAAAAAGTCGATGCGAAATGCTGATTGGCGGAGATGGCATTAGTAGCGTCATTACCCTTGGCACGTGTTTTTCAATGTTTGTTTATATTCGCACTCGTTTCCGCATCACGCTCATTGGCGGAAACGTGACAGCTCAGTCGACGGAGAGCCAGGGGAATATTGGAGGTGGAATTCAAATTCCAGAGACGTAGTTGCAAGCTCTCCTACCTTTTCCTGCCCTGCCGCCAGAGCGCCCCGGAGACCTTACTCGCAGGCTACCCTGCCCGGGGTAGGAGTTTCGGCCGCTTTTTTTTCCAAGCGTAATCATTGTGAACTTATCCCAACAACAGTCGTGATTTGAGTTAACCCCCACGAGTGACCAATATCAATTTTCTCCATACAATTTCAACACATTTTTAAGAGAAAAGGTTCATAGAATTTATAAAAATAATAATCACCAAAGAGGAAATGCTTTTATTCATCATCAAATTCTCGTCTCCAAGCGGGAGTCTAAAGAATAATATAGAGTTTTCCCACTTTGGCCCATTTTCCGTCGCTTTGTCATTTTTAACTCATTATTAACACAACTGCTTGTAAAACTTGCTTTGCAGGTGTACAAGAATGGCCGCCATGAACTGTTGAATGAGGTGGAAGAAACTGCGAGCGTGGTTTACAAGGACATTCTAGACTGGATCCAGCAAAAACTATCTTGAAGTGTTTAAGGCCGAGTTTTACACGAATCCAGACTAATTTTTAAAACTGCATGACTTTCTATCTGGATTCGTATAGACAGGGCCTTAAACCACCCCGGAGAGCCGTTTCAAAAAGATAGTAGGCTGATTTAGCAATGGAACGGGAACGTCAGTTGACGACGACGCGCGCAAATCAAACAACTGGCTTCACCAATGGCAGAGCAGCAAATTGAGCACCGGAAGTCGCGTTCAGTTCTTTCCGCGCGCTTTCCCGTCGTCAATTGATGTTCCCGTTCTGTTGCTAAATCAGCCAAATGTTTCGGTGAGAGGATTCACTGGTTTCGCGCGTGGACGGAATACCAGACGGAAGGCCGATTCATGTGAAAAATATATAAAAATGCGCTTTTAGAAAAATCCTAATTTGTGTGTACGGGGCTTTTCACGATAGTGTCAATTTACAAATATGACCAAACTCATTTCATTTTTTCATTTCTTTCATATTTACTTCGGCAAATTTAGAAGCCTTAATTTGTATGAGAAAGCCAAATTCTGAAGGATTCTAAAAAGGGCCGTTTGCACGATGACGTCATTTTACTATACCAGATTCCTTCAGGGTTCTGCTTTCTTCTGCAAGTTAGGGCTTTTGTTATTTAAACCTCAGAGGGATTACCAAATTTAAATATGAAAGAAAAAATTGAAGTTAATCCCTTTACTGGAAAAAACAAGTCAAGGCCTAAATAGGCAATTAGGCCCCGTTGACCCAGTAGCCTTGCAGCAGTTCAGAATAGACCCCTATGAGTCGTAGTTCTTTTGTTTTCGGACCAGGTTCCAAACTTTGTTTGTTCATTGTTTTCCCAACCAATACTCTGAGGTCTTTCAAGAGCTGCAAGGTCGCCCCTTATATGAAGAAAAGTCGCCCCGGGTTAAAGAGTCACTCGCCTACCCGAGCTAACCTTGGCGAGTCAACATTTCCTACATTTCCTTACCGAAACTTGGCGTTTAATTACACTACAAACAAATAGTGGGCTCGGATAGAGCCCTTTTTCGATGGTAAGGTCACCTTCCTAGCTAAGCCAACTTTTCTCCAAGTAAACACTTGGCTTGCCTAGCCGGGTCATTAGTAACTCAGTCAAGGCGAGAGGAGAGAATCAGAGCATGCACGAGCGCTGTTAAGGGGTCAACTGTTTGTCAAATAAACGCTTGCTTAAGTTGACTCGGGCTGGGAGGGTGACCCGGGGAAGATTTTTCTCTATATAAACGGGGCCTCACTCGCATGTTTTCTTGATATAGGTTCAATAAACAAAACCATAACTCTGCACGCGTGCGTATAGTAACACTTTTTTTGTAAGTTTATTCGCCGTCACTACGTTATATGCAGGACATAAGCACCCGAAGACGAATTTATTTTTCTCTATTTACACTTTGATGTCAGTGCTTTCAAAAAATTCATATCGACAGAAAAATCACCTACATTTGACCAGCTTAGCCAGTTAAGATAACCACCACAAATTTTTAAAAGTAAGCCAAATAGCTTTATAAAATGACGTTTTCGCTACCGTCGCGTCCCTAATGTCGACCGTATTTAAAAATCTCGAGCAACTAACGTTCAGTCAGAGCCAATCTCTGTATTTTAACGCCGTACCTTAAGTTGTCTGCTTTGGACTAGAAAAGGTACCGGTAAGATCAAGAGGTTTTGCCTTCCGGTCCTTGCGCGGAGGCCTCATCGGGCTAAAAGGGACAGGAGACCTCGGCGACAAAAATTCCTGTCACTTGGAGCGAGAGGCGACGGGGAGAAGAAATAGCCTGGGAACGAGATTGATTTACACTTTGATGTTCCTAGATAACAATAGCCTGGGATCATGCTTTCCCTGAAAAAACGTAAAACGCCTATTCAAAAAAGACGATGAAACATGAGAAAGTATAGCTTTACACTATTTCCTTGTTTCTGTTTTCGTCTTTTGTGGCTATGGTTCGTATTTTTGGATTGTTTCAGTTTTGCGGTTTAATTTTGCATATTTTTGAGTCTGTTTCCTGTTGGGGATGCCGACTTCCGTTTTGGGATTTGTGTTTCTGTTTTGTGGTAGTGTTTTTCTGTTTTAGGTTTCCGTTTTGTCTTGTGTGTTTCTGTTTTGGGTTGGTTCTTTCCCATTTTTGCTGTTGTTGTTGTTGTCTTATGGTTTTTTTGTTTCTATCAGCCACCCTATATATTTGATAGTCCTCTGCATTTAAATCCAACCACTGAAGAACACTTCAAGACTCCGTCGAAAATTTCTTCACAGATATCAAATCGTTCAGGTAAGAAAAAAACTCCTTTAACTTGGAATTTTGCTAAGCAGATATTTCTGCAAGGTTTATTTTGATTTCCTGCTGTAGTTTTTTTCCCCTCTCTTTTTTACTTAGAAATAATTAATAATAAGTTTAGACCGGTTTGTGACCGCGAAACAAAGTATGTTTGTTCCATGTTAAGCAAAACGTCTGATTAGAATATTGTTTTGAATTGACCGATTTGTGTTTCTCTCCCTTCGTTGTCTCCTTTGTCCGCTTCTCTCTTCCACTTTCTTTCCAACCCCCCCCCACCTAAAAACCCTCACCCCAACCCCTCCTCACACAAGCAATGCCGGATATTCAGGATAATTTGTGTTAAATGTGGATCTCTCATGTTGTAGACGTCAGCGATTTATAATAATTTTCAGTTTTAGTATAATAGCTAAGGTAGAAAGACCTGCTTTGTGCATAAATTTGTGACACTAAGTCTTGCATCGATCAATAGGAAATCGAGGTCATGAATTTAGTTAGTCAAGAAATCTTTCCTCAAAAAGCTGCCTTTAAAATTTATTTATTCTGGATTGGGACTATATAAATTATAATGACGCAAAGTATTTCAGGAAAATTACTTTTTGTATATAGATTAAATGGCTTGTATTTCTGCTCTATGTAAGGCAAACAATTTAAAATTTGTTGTGGTTTCCTACTTTGTGGTCTATCTGAAATTTGCATGTAATGTAATTGTCGCCGGGCAGCGGACTCATTTTTGAGGATTAGACCTAGCCCCATTTCTCTGGACTTAACCTGTACACTGCCACACCCTCCCCTTAGAAAATCTTTTTTTCTGACGGGAGGACGCCTGTATACAGGCTATTTGGGCGGAAATAATTTATGTAAACTAGATGGGGAGAGTGTTGTCCACGGGTATTCTCAAAGTATACAATAAAGTCACAAACAATAGAAATATTTCTTTGAGCTACATGTTCTGCTACAAAAACCTTGAGGATAGAGCTAATAAGAAATGACTCTTAAATTGGCTGAAAATGTTCCGATCCACACATTAAAGGTCGCAATTATGCAAAACCGTCAAAATTGACCTAAAAATCGACTTCAGAGAACTCGGCTTCAAAAGGCCGATCTATACCTCAGACCAAAACAGAGACAATCGAGCTAAAACATTGGCATAATGCGGATGTCTCCATAGTAACTAAGTGTACCTAATTTGACCAAACTCTATCGACACCTATTTCCACACAGTAATTTTCAAGGAGTTATAATAACTCCTCTAGTGGGTTAATTTAACCCGTTACAGTGGAATTTTTTGGGGGGAGTTATTTTAACTCCAAAAAGGAGTTTAAAGAACTCTTTTTCAGGAGTAAAAATGATCCCAGATATTGAGGAGCTAAAATAACCCCCAAAAAAGAGTTATCAAGTACCTAAAATTTTTACTCCACTTTCAGAGTCAAATAATCTCCAAAAAGAGTAAAAACAAACCATGTAAGGAGTAAAAATAACCCCATTATTGGAGTTATTTTAACTCCAGACTGAGATGAAAAAGAATTCTTTTTCAGGAGTAAAAATGACCCCAAATTTGGAGTTAAATTAGGAGTTAAAGTAACCCCATAAAAGGGGTTAACCTGTGCCTAGAATTTTTACCCCATTTTTGGAATCATAATAACGCTCTAAAAATTACTGTGAAACCCTACCACACGTTCTCAGGCAGAAGCTCTTATTAAACTACATTTTCATTTGGTATTACAGGTTTCAAAAATGATTAGTTTTTGTACTTAATGTAACCTTTCTTTGTTTTCTGAATAATTAGGTAGGGTACACAAAGATGATTTTTTGAGTATTTTCATCTTAATTTATAGAAAAAAGTTTTAAGAGATTCTACTTGAAATATTGTGTTATGACAGACAGAATAATTCCGGAGATGTGTCAGTTAGATTAAATCTAGGGATAAAGGAGTGGAAAGTTCTATCATGTCTTATCTGTCAAATGGGGACATATTCTAAGATTTCAAATGTATTAATGAGAATTATTTTTGTTTTTTCTCCACCTCCACGTTCCATTAAAGAAACCTTACGGCAAAGAAACAGTTCCACTTTCAATACTTAAATTTCGATATGGCAGAAAGAATACTACAAGATATAGCTGAACTAGAAAAGCGTCTTACAAAAGCGCAAATCAATGAAAACACGGCAGGGAAAGCAGAAGCCTACTACAAACTAGGCGGAGCTTATTACTTCCTCGAGGACTTCCATCGAGCAATAGAGTACCTCAAGCAGTACCTGAGCATTGCTGAGGAAGTCGGTGACAGAGCAAATGCAGGACGTGCCTATGACAAACTCGGAGATGCTTACGATTCTCTCGGTGACTCCCAAAGAGCACTAGAGTACTACGAGAAAAGCCTGAGCATTGCTGAGGAAGTTGGTGACAGAGCAGGTGCAGGACGTGCCTATGGCAATCTCGGCTGTGTTTATATATCCCGTGGTGACTCCCAAAGAGCACTAGAGTACCACAAGAAAAGCCTGAGCATTGCCAAGGACGTTGGTGACAGAGCAAGTGCAGGACGGGCCTATGGCAATCTCGGCTGTGTTTACAACTCCCTCGGTGACTCCCAACGAGCAATAGAGTACCACAACAAGCTCATCAAAATTGCCAAGGAAGTTGGAAACAGGGCAGAAGAAGGATGTGGCTATGGCAATCTCGGCAATGCTTATGAATCCCTCAGCGAATTCCGACGAGCAATAGAGTGCCACAATCAACACCTCAGCATTGCCAAGGAAGTTGGTAACAGGGCATGTCAAGGCAAAGCCCTTGCTAATCTCGTCTTTGCTTATCGCAGCCTTAATGAATTCGAAAGAGCAATAGAGTACGCCAATAAATACCTCATCATTGCCAAGGAAGTTGGTGACAGGGCAGGGCAAGCGCAAGGCTATGGCATTGTCGGCGAAATTTATTCAGTTCTCGGCGAAGACCAACGAGCAATAGAGTACACCAATAAAAGCCTCATCATTGCCAAGGAAGATGATAACAGGGCAATGGAAGGCAAAGCCTATTCCATTCTCAGCACTATTTATCTCAGGCTTGATGAGTTCGAACGAGCAATGGAGTGCAGCAAGAAACAGCTGAGCATTGCCAACGAAGTCGGTGACAGAAGAGGAAAAGGAAGTGCCTATTTAAACATCGGCGACGTTCATAAATCCCTCGGCGACGTGCCACGAGCAATGGAGAACTACAAGCAATTCCAGAGCAATGCCGAGGAAATCGGTGACAGCGATGCACAAGGACATGCCTATTGCCGCCTCGGAGGTTGTTATACACGTCTCCACAACTTCAAGGAAGCAATAGAGTGTTACAAGAAACACCTGAGGATTGCCGAGGAAATCGGTGACAGGAAGGGAGAAGCATGTGCCCATGTCGGTCTGGGTCAATCTTTTTTGAATTCAGATTGTTTGAATGAGGCTTTAGAACATTTTAGATGCAGCGTAAAAGTCTATGACACTATTAGAGCCAGTTCTATCTCGGAAGATCAATTGAAAATAAGTTTCCGTACGCAACATCAATTTGCCTATACTCATTTATGGCAGGTTTTAGTAATGCTTGAAAGGAATGATGAGGCTTTATACGCGGCTGAGAGGGGACGAGCACAGGCTTTGCTCGATGCCTTAAAAGTAACTTATGGCCTTACATCACTTTCTCCCAGGTCAATTGACTCTGAAGAAGAAGTCAGATATATTTCAAGGAACACAACTGTTTTAACAGTTTTTCTTGCCCTTCATTCGCAAACAGTCAATATCTGGCTGTTGGGAAAAGAGGGCAACCCTATTTTTAGGCAAGCGAAGATAGAAGATTCCTTTACTCCCCTTTTAGACAGGGCTGGCGTCGGTATTAGGTGCGAAAATCGGTGCGAATTACAGGCATTATATGATGCAGTTCTTGGTCCCATTAAAGACTTGTTTGATGGTGATGAACTAATTGTAATTCCTGATGGCTCTTTGTCTAAAGCTCCTTGGGCAGCCCTGAGTGAAACTTTAAGGATCCGCACTGTTCCTTCACTGACAAGTTTGAAAGTCATCACAGATTCTCCATGTGAATACCACAGTAAAAGTGGAGCCCTGCTTGTTGGAGATCCATGCTTGAAGAAAATTACAGACAAACAAGGGAACCCCATTTATGATCCTCTGAAGTACGCAAGAATGGAGGTGGAGATGATTGGAAAAATTCTAGAGAGTCAACCTTTAACAGGTGAAGATGCAACCAAAGAAGCGGTACTTCAGAGAATCGGGTCAGTTGCTTTGGTACACATTGCAGCCCACAGAAGAAAGGAAACTGGAGAAATTTTTCTGGCTCCAGATCCCCGATGGGAATCCAAGCCTCCAACGAAGGAGGACTGCATTATGAAAATGTCTGACATACAAGCTGTTAAGCTGAGGGCGAGGCTTGTTGTGCTTAGTTACAGCCACAGTGGTCAAGGAAAGGTCTCCCCTGAGGGTGTGGTCGGTATGGCACGTGCTTTCTTGTTTGCTGGTGCTCGCTCCGTGCTCGCGACACTCTGGGCAGTTGATGACGAAGCCAAAATGATGTTTATGAAGTCTTTCTACCTACAACTTGGAAGTGGAGAAAGTGCAAGTGTTGCTCTTCAGAGGGCCATGAAATGTCTTCGAGACTCCGACAATTTTTCTGCCCCGAGGTACTGGGCTCCATTTGTTCTGATTGGTGATGATGTTAAGATTGAATTGAAGAAAAAACATTGAGGAAGTCGTAAGTAGAGAGTTTTAATTACTTTTTTCTTGCTTTTCTTTATTAAGGGGTCCTAGAAACAGATGGCTCAAGAAGAAAAGTCAGAACTATTATTTTCAACTTGAAATGTAAGAACATTGGCAGACTTGATAAATACTGGTAAAAAGGGAAATATATAGTTTACACAATAAGGAAAGGTGTGGTAAGTATGTACCGTTAACGGATTCACACAATCACATGTTATTCCTACCAAGTAAATCGTTTAGAAATCATTCGAACACTAGATAACCCTTAGTTTTCTCAATTCTTAATTAATTTAGGGACAATATATATGAAAGATACACTTTGCAATAAGCTGCCTTCAATTTCTTAGAGTACTAGCTCTATATGTTGACCAATAATTAACAGCTTCATGAAAAACAAATATGTCTAATATGACAAATGTTTCTCATTTTGCTATTTTTCACACCATAATTTAAGGCATTCTTAAATTTACCGCTTTGATCTTAATTTAATTTTAAAAAAATGTGAATTAATGCCTCAATTGTTACTTTCTTTACAGGGATGAGCTGAAAGTTTGATGTCAACACAACTGCTGAAGTAACGTGTATATATCTGGATTTCCCCAAAGAAAGAAGAGCGTTATTTAGTAGCTGTTCTCAATGGGACGTTTGGTAAAAAAGCGTTTTTCATTTCCATCATTTTTTCTCAGAAAATGTTAGAGAGATTTAGAGTCATGCTAACGGCAAACGTCTGCAGATTCAAGTTGAGAATTTCTCAAAATAGAAAATATGCAGATAAAATGAAAACAGCTCAAAGCAATTTTTATGGATAAAACTAACTTGAAACTAATAATTTTTTGTAGATTTAATTAACAGCAAAAGAGAAGTAAAGGGAACACTTGGTCACGTGGTACAAATCCACGGATTGCCGTAAACTTAACTCTTAATCTCTCTAATTAATAACTTCAAAACAACGTTTTAAATTAGCCAAGGCTACATTTATCAATTTTAACTTAGGAAAAAGACAAACAATTCTCGTGGGGAAAGAACTTAAGGCTGTTTACGATTATTTCTTTACTCCCGCGAAACTGACTAAGTAGCAGTACAGATGATTGCCCCTTTTCTCGTGTAACCTGCCTTAACCGGCAAATTGTAATTTGGTAAAGGAAAATTGCATTCTAATAATCTTAATATTGATGATAATAATAATCACCATCATCATAATCTTAATAATTCCTTTTCAGTTTTTTCCCCTCGGCTTTAAAGCAAATGACTGAAACAAATACTTCAAATTAATTTAAAAGGGTTAACCCTCGGACGTACACGCAAATTCATACCCCAACCGTGGTATAAGGGGGAGGGGCGGATGGAACCACTCCCCAGAGTTTTTGATAATTTGCAGTATTTCGAAACGATTTTGCCTTCAGTGGAAAGCCTTTGATCTACTCAACAAGATGAGGTTTATTTTTAATAAGTGGTGGCGCTGCTGGAGGCCTGTGACGTCACCAACAATGGTCGCCATCTTGGATTTCACCAAGAATTAGAAATCAGGTTAAAATCGCGATAAATGGTAATTTTCTGTGCTTCGGATGTAAAATAACACCTAAATAAGCCCTTTGCATCATTTCATTGACAAATTTTACTTTTATTGTTGAAAAAAGTTGAAAGAACGTGCATTTTCACTCAAAAATGGCTTGACAACCTGCTACTTATGACGTGATATGTCGTAACCATAGTAACTGACCATCACTAAACTTGTCTCAAAATGCGCGCGAGGGATAAACGAACAGCTGCTGAAAACGTCAGGTGCTGATGTTTTATCGTCTAAAAGAAATTATACGTCCGAGGGTTAAGAATCCCAAGTCTCCTAACGGGTCGGAGACGAAACACTTAGCTATATAGCGAGGCCGTGGTTTCAGTAGTGTCCGCAGTCAGATTTTAATCACATAATTTTTAAAATTTTAAGTATGCACTGTAAGTATTCTGAACCCTGATTCTGAACCGCGGGTCATATTTCAGTGCTTTAAAATGCAGACTGCAGACTGACTACAGACCATTGTTTTCAGGGTTAGGAAACAATGGGACTATCAGTGGCTTCATAGCTTAGTTGGTTAGAGCGTCGCACCGGTATCGCAAGGTCACGGGTTCAAATGCCGTTGAAGTCCTGATTTTTTTGTTTTCAGGCTTCTTACGCAATTGCATAAATTGCGTTCACAACTGTAAGGATCATTCTTCATTTGATTTTATTCCCCCAGTTCTCATATATGATTTATTTCATATGCATTTGTCAATGCGAGTATTGTTGTCACGTTCCCATTTGCATGGTGAAAACAATGTTATGCACTGAGAGCAGTCTCCAGTCTTCATTTCATACTTATGTTATATATTGAGACACACATTGTGTCACTTAATTAAAACTGTTTTTAAATTCCAGTAAAATGGGATTTCAGAGACGAGTTTAAATTATATGGTAGCGTTTCATACAAAGAGTAAAACATTTTGCCTTCCACGTTTGGAAATGAATATGCTCGTAGTTTTAACAGTAAGTTTTGGACGATACATTGAATAGCCTGCGCAGAGACAGGAGCGAGTGAGCGCTGGCGAATTGGACCGTCTGAGAATCATTAGAGTGACTTTTGCCTTATTTTAATAACCCTTTTTTAGGAAAAGCGTTGCCAGATAGTCCTTCCATGCCTGCAAACAAACAAAAAAAGGGGCCCGAAATCCAATTTTCATCCGAAAACAAGATTTATTTTCCTTCTCTATTTTCTCACCACCACTTCCTTGTAGAGCTGAGTCCGCCTCTGTCTCTGCACTCGTAGACTATTTGTTCTGCCATTAAACTAGGTTTAACTCTTAATCTTGTTTCTTAATTACTGCGAGTCATTTCAATCATAAAAAACGTTTTCGTGTACTATTGCGTTAGTGGTCCAACAGCTTTAATTGATGTCGACTTTAACGTATCCAGACAGTGGAAGAGATTAGATTAAGATTTTGGACGCTGCAATAACTTAAATATGTTTTGTTGTAATTGTGCTAGGTTGTAAAAGTTGGTCTTTTAATCAAATAGATCAGTTCCAGAACACGTATACAGACACGTTCTGAGGTTTGGCGTTAGGAAATTACAACAATCGTTCAAGCTATCATCATTCTATCGAGAATCTGACCTATTTTTTTCGCCTCTAGATTGCTTTTCTCTAGGCCATTGACCTTTAGCCATCCCTCAGTTATTTAAATAAGCTGCTTTAATTTAGGGATGTCACCATTACAACAACAGGATAGGAGGTTGGGGGAAGGGAAATGCATTAGTAAGAAAAAAGCTCCACACGCACCGTGATTAAAAAAGCTGTTCGAGGAGGAAAAATAGATTTCCACCACAGGAGTAAAGAGAAAACCTTCATAGACCTCCCAAAACTTCAACCCAGGCCGTTTATTTTCCTAAATGGTTCATCCCTTATACCGCCCCATGTAACGGAATCCGGAATCTGGGAAAAATTGCGTGTGAAATCCGGAATCCTGGGCTTTGGAGTCCGGAGTAAAGCTCAAAGAATCCGAACTCCCACTAGCAATTGAGAATCTAAGTTCGACTGGAATTGAGTTCCTGGAATCAGGAATCCGTGACGTGGAATCCAGAATCCCAGACTATCTTGGATTGCCTTACATGGGGTGACTTATTAGTCGGCTGGTTAAACTGCTTCTACTTGATCCCAACCCGTTGCACGATACAATGTTTAGTTTCTGATGTTACCTTCAGATAAGTAATTTTGTATTAAACCTGAAGAAAACGAGATGTTTACTGTGACTGCTGATCTCTTCGATGCCAGTAGTATACTAGGGTCAAACTTAACCCCGTTGGTGTCTAGCAAGGTCTAGCTAGGTCTAGTCTATGACGTCACCGATTGTTATAACCTGGGGAAAAAGTGGATTCCCTTTATTAATATGTATAAGTGTCTTCCTGCATACTAATTTGGATTTCCTGCATACTAATGAGGTGTCTAGCTAGCTAGGTAAAAATGGGTTCCTCCAAATATAATGAAGTGGATAGGTTTACTAATGAGCGTCACTCTACTACAATAGGAACAATAGGCTTGCCTAGACTTGCCCGGTAAGTAACTTGAGCCCGGTTTTCGCACCGTCTATTAAAAGAAAAATAGGAATAAGAGAAGCGATCACCTAACAACGCGAGAAACGGCTTCCTATATCTTATTTAGCGCTAAAACTCGGATATATATAAACACAAATTTAGTTTACCTTCTTATTTAGCTCTAAAACTCGGATATATCAACAAACATACACAAAGGGGAGCTGAAAACTCTCTATTTCAAGTTTGTCTGACTATTACAGAACTGTTTTCTCCCCTCTATCTCGAGAAAATTAAAGTCTCAAGGTTTCACGCACGGTTAATCAGTTAATTATGCTAGTTCACAAGCCTAAAGTTGAATACAAATTAGCTCTACAGCTAGACCCCAGGGAGCAACCTTGACGTATTATTATAAAACAAATAACTTAACAAGCATCAATTAAAACACGCGACTCATAATTGCTAGCAATAAAAAGACAAGAGAGATATCGTTTTAAAAAAATTTATTAAAAAACAATGACAAAAAGAGTCAAATACACAGGAATGGAAATTAATTAATCTTCATCTTCGCCAATGGAGTACTTGTAAGGTTTGAATTTCTTATGCAGACGTTTCTTCAGCTGTTTGCCATGAGATTTATGATCATCCAAATAATTTAGAAATTGAATCCGACGCCTTTTGCGCTTCGGTCCTTGTTGTGATGGGGTTTCTACTGTGGGAGGAGGGGTCAGGAAAGCAGAATTTAAGGGTGGTGGAGGGGTGAGGCTTTCTTTGTCAGCTTTTTGAGAGATAGCCGCTTGTGTTAATTCAGGTGTTACATTAAAAGGGTTGAGGGGAGTCGAGAATGCTGTCGTTGCTGTCGAAGAATCTTGTGTCCTTGATGTTAAGTCTGGAACAGTACTGATTATTTCTTCCGGTCGTGTTCTTGTATGTAATTGTTCTTTAAAAGCCAGGTATCTGTTTTGCAACTGAACGTATCGCTTAGCTTTATGATCGTCCCGAAGATCGTTTCGAGAAAGCACGTCATCCATGTTGCCCTGTATTTCTTGCATAGCTGGAAGAAGTGGGACAGGCGAAAGAGTTTGCTGCTTCAGATATTGTAGGAGCTCTTGAGGAATATTTTCTTGAAACCTTGCTTGGTTAAAGCCTTCTTCACTGGACAGGACGTTTGTTCGCAGTCGACAATTATCTTGGGTAGTAGTTTTCAGATCAATCAGCAGATAACCAAAAGGTCTTTTTACAGCCTCTTCGTATTGATTTAAAAAGAAATCAGTCTGCCCGGGATACATTTGCTTCGCCAGAGTCAAGATTTGCAATTTGTCTGGTGGATTCTTGAATAACACCAGATAATGGCTGTTTAAGCTTATGCTGCGGCTACCTTTCCCCTGATGAAATAGATTCTGCACGATATAAATCACGCTCAGATTGCGATGATGAGAACCACGAGTAAAAAGGTTCACAATTCGCTTGTCCTTACTGGCGTCAATCATCTGATCATCAAACACGATCAAATTCCGTTTGTTCACATCAAAATAGGAATCTTGCTCCAAAGCCGTAGGAATTCCCTTGACGAATTCAATGTTTGGCATGGCGACTAACATTTGTGTATACGCAGGCTGCCATTGTGAATAACACCAAACGATCCTCTCCGGGGGAGGGTAAATGGTCTCTGAAGCTTGTTGCAATAGCGATCGAACCCAGGCCGTTTTTCCGGACCCGGTCATTCCGGCAATCATGGAGGTGAAAGGATGCTCGAAGCGAAACCGCTGACCTTTCTGTGAAAATATTGGAACTGTTTGAAATGGGGTGAGACCAGCATTGTGGTGTTTAGACATCACGTGCCTTTGCATATTATCTTTTCTACTAAAGGATTTTTCGCAGACAGAACAGAGCCAACTCATGTCAACTCCTCAGGAGCAAAATGTAGAGAAAGAGGTAGAATGTTGCGCATTTATATAGGTTTTCAGGCCACAAAATTATATTGTTTTCCTCCCCCAAAACCACCACCACCACCACCACCACCACCACATTTCTATTGTTTTCTTTCCTCCTCCTCCTCCTCCTCCTCCTCCTCCTCATTTCTATTGTTTTTCCTCCTCCTCCTCCTCCTCCTCATTTCTATTGTTTTTCCTCCTCCTCCTCATTTCTATTGTTTTTCCTCCTCCTCATTTCTATTGTTTTTCCTCCTCCTCCTCCTCCTCCTCCTCCTCCTCCTCATTTCTATTGTTTTTCCTTCCACCAGATTCTATAAAAGACTGCTAACTGCCATCTTTAGTTCACTTTGAAGCAATGTCTCGTGTAGTGAACAACAATCGTGGTTTTCTTCAGCTGTTAGCTGCTTGCCCTTCTTATCAGCGCCAGTTTCTTTTAAAGACAGCTACACCACAGCAACTTCATGCACTAGTCCAAGTCTTATACAATTTACTCATGGGACACATTCCCATCTCCGAAGAAAATAAGAGGGTATTGCTGCCATATAAGGATGCTTTACTTAACCTGGCCAGTCCAAATGTCCCTTTCAAAACAAAGAAGCGAGTCCTTGTTCAAGAGGGTAGTGGTTTTATTGAAGATGTATTAGCCCCTGTCGTTTCAAGCTTAGGATTTCTAATGCTATAAAAGAGGTGACACATCGCTAGGTTGCTCATTCGAAGCTAAGTCTGTCACGAGTACTCATCAAAATGAAGAGAAAGATAGATTTGGTTGAAGAAGAAGAACACGAGAGTGAACATGAAGAAAGCGAAAGTTCTGGTGATGAAAGCGAGGATGAAGAACCAAGAATAAAAGAAGAACCGAGAATAAAAGATGTTTTGAGTCATCTTTCCCGAGCAGTGCCGGAAAAGCGTGCTTCTGATTTGCTGCATAGTATGGCTGCGTCTAAAGATATTCTTTTCTGGACCCCCAGCGGACAATTACTTCGAAATAAACGCACTATTCCCGTCACAAACATCGCTGAGCTAGTTGAGTATGTGTTACTCCCTCATAACAATGAGGTTACCAAACCTCGTGCGCTGAATACGTTTCTAGATGGACTTGCAGAGTTAGGAATCGATAAAGGTTTAATCAAGAACAAAGAGTTGTTAAGTGATTTAATAGAAAAGGAAAAAGGCTACCAAAATGTAGAAAATACTTCTGATAACGAGAGTAATAATGAGGAGAGTTCATCGGATATTGAAAATCAGGAGGAGGAGGAGAAAGTGGCTTCTGAGAATGGCGCTGAAGCGGAAGGCATCCAAGAGAGCGACAACGATACTGAAAACGACAGTCAGGAGATAGAAAGTAGTAACCCTGAAACGTCCACCACCTTTCACTCCAAAAGTCCCTGTGAACACTGCGAGAACTCTAATGTGTACGGGACATTGATCATGAAATGTCCTAAATGCCTTTGTCACGATTACTACAAGATTTGTCCTATATGCGATCACCAGATTCCCGAGGGGAGACATTACATGAAAGAGGGCTTTCTTCGGTGTCACGATTGCGGAGCAGTTACACACAAAAACGCGAAGACGTTGGAAACCAATTTCTATTCCCCTTCTACAGAGGAGAGCGAAGAAGAGGATTAATTAATTTCCATTCCTGTGTATTTGACTCTTTTTGTCATTGTTTTTTAATAAATTTTTTTAAAACGATATCTCTCTTGTCTTTTTATTGCTAGCAATTATGAGTCGCGTGTTTTAATTGATGCTTGTTAAGTTATTTGTTTTATAATAATACGTCAAGGTTGCTCCCTGGGGTCTAGCTGTAGAGCTAATTTGTATTCAACTTTAGGCTTGTGACCTAGCATAATTAACTGATTAACCGTGCGTGAAATCTTGAGACTTTAATTTTCTCGAGATAGAAGGGTGAAAACAGTTCTGTAATAGTCAGACAAACTTGAAATAGAGAGTTTTCAGCTCCCCTTTGTGTATGTTTGTTGATATATCCGAGTTTTAGAGCTAAATAAGAAGGCAAACTAAACTTGTGTTTATATATATCCGAGTTTTAGCGCTAAATAAGATATAGGAAGCCGTTTCTCGCGTTGCTAGGTGATCGCTTCTCTTATTCCTATTTTTCTTTTAATAGACGGTCCGAAAACCGGGCTCAAGTTACTTACCGGGCAAGTCTAGGCAAGCCTATTGTTCCTATTGTAGTAGAGTGACGCTCATTAGTAAACCTATCCACTTCATTATATTTGGAGGAACCCATTTTTACCTAGCTAGCTAGACACCTCATTAGTATGCAGGAAATCCAAATTAGTATGTAGGAAGACACTTATACATATTAATAAAGGGAATCCACTTTTTCCCCAGGTTATAACAATCGGTGACGTCATAGACTAGACCTAGCTAGACCTTGCTAGACACCAACGGGTTAAGTTTGACCCTAGTATACTACTGATGCCTTAAACCATTTTAAAACAACTTCTCCTTCAACTGGAATAGTCAATATTTGATTAACAAACCACTCCCACCTCAGAGGCGCTAAACGTTTTCGATTCTAGGACGTTTTTCATTAATCATCCCACTAGGTAAATCGGTTTTCAAGCAATAAAACCCAACTTTTAAGCAGAAGTTTGATGAAAACCATTTGACCTCGTTTCACCAAACAACGTCATAAGAAGCATGAAGGCAGCTAAAAAATCATTTCATTATATTTCAAAGAGTACCTTGGTAGTGACCTACAACCGTCTCACGGGCATCTTGGCAGCCAAATGACACAGTAAAACAAAAACGTGTTCAAACCAATTTTCGATATTTAGGGATGAACCTTTGAAAAAGCAAAGAAAACTTTTCTCCATATTTATCAAAACTAGAATTTCATCGTTAATCCAAGCAATCTTGCCACTTTCAATTGAAGCAGCACCGATCTAGAAAGTGAATCGTCTCATATCGGATAGGTTTCTGTGCAACTCTCCGGTGCAGTGTGAACGGGTAACGGGTATTCTAACCCTGGCGTTAATAAAAGAGTAGGAGGGAGGACTGGAACCCAGAAAGACGGAAGTAAATATTAAGCGGAAGTGAGGATTGGGAATAATTTTGCCAATCCCTCTCGGCCAACTACTCCAGACTCGTACCCAGTCGCTATTTATTTATCCCCGCGCGACTCAATCTTCTCTCATCCCAAAAACACATAAATAGTGAATGGGTGCGATTGTAGACATTTATAGATTTTCCTCTCCAGTCATGGGCAAAGTCAAGTTTAAGTACACACCTGGTCAATCGTGAAGCATGCACTACTGCAAATTTTAATCGACCATATTACCAAACATGGTCAGTAAAATGTTAACCAGTGCCTATATTGAACACCTATTGAATGAGATTTTGTGGTATCTGGAATAATCAAAGGTCTAGGTGTTACCAGCCGAGCCGAAGGCTGATAACACCTACCGAGACCTTGATTATTCCAGATATCACAAAAAGCTAAACTAATCACACATTGTTTTGAAGAAAATAACAACACACCGTCGCACAGAATATTGTTTGACATTGCTCTTGCAAATCATGCATTGCGCACGCAAACTGCAGACATGTCAGTTATCTACTAGCAGATAATTAACTAATCTGTAGGTTGCGCTGATTTTCAAATTACATTAACCGTAGGCTCTTAGCCAATGAGAAGGAATGTAGTGAGTATAATTTATAATAATTTTATTTATATGTATAACAAACGGACTTGCAAAAAAAAAAATTCATCCACAGAGTTATTAATTAGTCATTATAATAAAAAATGGATGGTTGAGAATATAAGTGCGGACCTGAAAAGACAAACTTGAAAATTTTAGCAAAAGAATTCAAGAGGAAGAAAACATGACGTAGCTAGTCCTTGATTAAACCCCTCGCCAGTAGATGGGTGTAATGAAGGTGCCTGGTCAAAAGTAGAGAGCCGCAAGGCAGCACGAGAGGTAACCATGACAACCTGGTGAGCGGGAACTAACACGCATCGTCACACTGATAATAGGGAGCTCACGCAACAGGACGGAAGAGAAAAGAAGACGGCAAACCTTCTGTGACAAGCGTGACAAAAATTTGGATGAAATTACTTTCCGCCAAACTTCACTTTTCTTTAAAGAGATCTTTTTACAAAAGACGAGAAAATATTAATGATAAGTGAAGATCACGACAAAACTCGCAAGTAATAGCCCTGTTACGTTTGTCCCACACAAGAGTTTTGACGTCCTCTTATTCCTGCCGTCCTGTTCGTAAACTCAATAATATCATGGGTGACAGATTACTCCTTACTTTTAGCGCAAAATGTCAGCGTTAATTTAACAAGGAACCCAAAATTTATTGTCTGGAATCCCGAATCCACAGCGTGGAATAGAGAATCCAAGACTGTCTTGCATTTCCTTACATAATGTGACACACAAATCATAACAAACTTTACTAACAGCAGCGAGCTAAAAACAAAATAGATCATGGAAAATTCACGGTTCCCAATACTTGCACGAGAATTCTCCAAGTAAAGACAAGACATTTAAGGTACACGAATGAGCTGCTTTACAGACAGCAGCGAACTAATAGCCTCTTTATGGGTATTTCCGACGAAATCGAAGTAGCGACGGTCGCTATATTGACGAAACGACGATCTTAGAGATTAAGGCGACGATCATTTTGCCATTTCGATAACGTTTGATCTGACTACATGACTCTTGCGATAGCAAAAAAGAAATCTACCAAACAGGGTGCTGCACCTTCAGAGCTTCGTTATTCATGTCACAAAACAATGAAACGGTGGCCATTGTGGTGTACCAAACAAATCTTGTGGGAGTTGAACCTTTTTCCTATGAAAAAACTTTCTTTTGTTCAAATAAAATTGTGTGAAAAAAAAACGTTCTCTCTATTTAGACTAAATGGTTAGGACGCATGACGGAATATCAAGAGGGCAGGGAGAGGTGGTGATATTACCCTGGCCGGGATAGGAGTCAACCTCGTTCCCAGGGTTCTTTCCTACAAGCAGAGAGAACCTGGGAACGAAGTTGGGTAGGAGATTCGGCCGCTTCGTTCTAAGTGCATCCTCGGAGACCCAGGGGCAGCTACAATCCTCGTCAAAAATCTTGAAACACTTCCCCAATGTTGATTTGGGTATTACAGTGGTCTCAGTGCTTCAAAATACGCGTGGCTCAACATTGGGGAGGGAGAGGGCACATTACAGTGAGAACAAAAGTGTGAGGAGTAAAAATCTCAAGAATTTTCCAGAAAATTCAAGAGAAACGGTGTCTGTTTCAACGATTTGTGACGAGTATTGTAGTCGGGACGATTCTATCGTCACGACTAGCTGCCCCTGGGTCTTCGAGGATGTTCTAATCATTATGAACTTATCCCAACAACAGTTGTGATTTGTGTTAACCCTTTTAGCCACAAGAATGACCAATATTAATTTTCTCCTAACAATTTCAACATATTTTTAAGAGAAAAGGTTCACAGAATTTATAAAATGATCACGAAAAAGGGAATGCTTTTATCCTTCATCATATTCTAGTCTCCAAACGGGAGTCTAAAGAATGATATGGCGATTATTATTGTTGTTGTTTTCCTACTTTGGCCAATTTCGCGTTATCATTTCTAAATCTACCTATTACTATTTCATTATTAACACAACTGCTTGTAAAACTTGCTTAGCAGATATAAAAGAATGGGCGCCATGATTTTTTGAATGAGGTGGAAGAAACTGCGAGCGTGGTTTACAAGGACATTCTAGACTGGATTCAGCAAAAGCTACCTTGAACTATTTTAGGCCACGAGCACACGAATCCATACTAATTTTTGAAACTGCATAACTTTCTACCTGGAATCGTATAGACGGGGCCTTAAACCACTCCGGAGAGAAGTTTCAAAAAGATAGTAGGCTGATTTAGCAATAGAACGGGAACGTCAGTTGACGACGACGCGCGCAAGTCAAAAAGCTGGCTTGACCTATGGCAGCGCAGCAAATTTCAGTCCTTTCCGCGCGCTTTCCTGTCGTCAACTGATGTTCCCGTTCTGTTGCTAAATCAGCCTAATGTTTAGGAGAGAGGATTCACTGGTTTCGCGCGTGGACGGGACACCAGACGGAAGGCCGATTCATGTGAAAAATATATAAAAATGCGCTTTTAGAAATATCCTGATTGGTGTGGACGGGGCTTTTCACGATAGTGTCAAGTTAAAAATATGACCAGTATCATTTCATTTTTTCATATTTAATTCGGTAAATTCGGAAGCCTTAATTTGCATGAGAAAACCAAATTCTGAAGGATTCTAAAAAGGGCCGTTTGCACGATGGCGTCATTTTACTATACCAGATTCCTTCAGGGTTTTGCTTTCTTGTGCAAGTTAGGGCTTTTGTTATTTAAACATCAGTGGGATTACCAAATTTCAATATGAAAGAAAAAATGAAATGAATTTCTTTAGTAGCAAAAACAAGTCATCGCGTAAATAGCCAGTTAGGCCCCGTGACCCTAGTCTATTCTGAACTGCTGCATTTTTCAGGCTGGAATGGTAACCCTTAATATCGGCCTCCCTAATGTTCAGGTCAGAGTCAATCTCTGTATTTTGAACGCCAGGTTTGATTTACAGTTTCATGTTCTTAGATAATAATAGCCTGAGATCATGCTCTCCCTGAAAAACGCCTGTTTTAAAAAAAGACGATGAAACATGAGAAACTATAGTTTTACGCTATTTACTTGTTTCTTTTTTCGTCTTTTGTGGCTATGGTTTGTATTTTTAAATTCTCTTTCAGTTTTGCGTTTTAATTTTGTATTTTTATGTGTGTTTCCGGTTTGGGATGCTTATTTCCGTTTGGGGATTTGTGTTTCTGTTTTCTGGTAGTTTTTTTCTGTTTTGGGTTTCCGTTTAGTCTTATGTGTTTCTGTTTTGGGTTTGTTCTTTCCTATTTTTGTTGTTGTTGTTGTCTTGTGGTTTTTTTGTTTCTATCGGCCACCCTATATATTTGATAGTCCTCTGCATTTAAATCCACCCACTAGAGAACACTTCAAAACTCCGTTGAAAATTTCTTCACAGAGATCAAATCGTCCAGGTAAGAAATAGTCTCCTTTAACTTGGAATTTTTCTAATCAGATATTTCTGCAAGGTTTATTTTGATTTCCTGCCGTAGTTTTTTTCCCTCTCCTTTTTAGTTTAGACCGGTTTGCGACCGCGAAGCAAAGTATGTTTGTCCCATGTTAAGCAAAACGTCCGACTAGAATATTGTTTTGACCGATTTGAGTTTCTCTCCCTTCGCTGTCTCCCTTTTCCGCTACTCTTTTCCACTTCCTTTCCACCCCTCCCCCGCCTCCAAACCCCCACCCCTACCCCTCCTCCCACAAGCAACACCGGATATTCAGGATAATTTGGGTTAAATGTGGATCTCTCACTTTGTAGATGTCACAGAATTATAATAATTTTTATTTATATGACAATAGCTAACGAAGAAAGACCTGCTTTGTGCATAAATGTGTGAAACTAAGTCTTGCATCGATTAATAAGAAATTGAGGTCACGAACTTATTTAGTCAAGACATCTTTCCTCAAACAGCTGCCTTTTAAATTGGGACTATGTGATTTGTACTGCCAGAAAGGTTTTCAGGAAAATTACTATTATACATTAAATCGCTTTTATTTCTGCTCTATGTGAGGCAAACAATGTAAAATTTGTTATGGTTTGCTAGTTTGTGGTCTCTCTGAAATTTGCATGTAATGTTATTGTCGCCGGGCAGCGGACTCATTTTTTGAACTTTGACTTATTATTATAAAAACACAATACAATAAAAAACGTAAGAAGGATCAATTAAAACACGCGACTAATAAACGCTCACAATAAAACCGGACACGAGATACCGTTTTCAAAGCTTTATTGAAGACCAATGACAAAAAGAGTCAAATACAGCTAAATACACAGCGATTTGAAAGGAATAAAAAATTTAATAATCGTCTTCTTCGTTCTCCTCTTTGGAAGGAAAATAAAAATTGGTTTCCAACGTCTTCGCTTTTTTGTGTGTAATTGCTCCACAATCCTGAAAGCACTCTTTGATGTAATTTCTCTCCTCGGGGATCTGGTGATCAAATATAGGACAAATCTTGTCAGTAGTAATCGTGCCAGAAGCAGTTTGGACATTTTATGATCAATATTCCGTACACTTTAGAATTCTCACAATGTTCACACCGATTTTAAGAGTGAAAGGTGGTGAACGTTTCAAGGCTACTACTTTATGTTTCCTGACTGTGGTCGTTTTTCAATGTCGTTGTAGCTCTCTTGGGAGTCATCTTCAACACCATTCTCACTGAGAAGCCACTTCCTCCTCCTCCTCATCCTTCCCCTCCTAATTTTAAATATCCAATGAAACCTCCTCATTATTACTCTCGTTATCAGTAGTATTTTCTGCATTTCGCTAGCCTTTTTCCTTGTCTATTAAAACGCTTAGCAACTTTTTGTTCTTGATTAAACCCTTATCGACTCCTAACTCTGCAAGTCCATCTAGAAACGTATTCAGCGCACGAGGTTTGGTAACGTTATTGTTATGCGTGGGTAGCACATACTCAATTAGCTCGGCGATGTTTCTGACAGGAATTATACGTTTATTTCGAAGTAATTGTCCACGGGAAGTCAAGAAATATTGTCTTATAACACCAATTCAGAAATTGTGAAAATAATTCCGGAGAAGCGTCAGTTAGAGTGAATCAAGGATGGAAGGAGTGGAAAGTTCTGTCATGTCTTACCCGTCTAATGGGAATTCAAATGTATTAATGAGAATTATTTTTGTTTTTTCTCCACCTCAACGCTCCTTAAAGAAACCTTACTGCAAAGAAACAGTTCCACTTTGAATACTAAAACTTGGAAATGGCAGAAAGAATGATACAATATATACATGAACAAACAAAGCGTCTTACAAAAGCGCAAATCTTTAAAAACACGGAAGAGGAAGCAGAAGCCTACCACAATCTAGGCAGAACATATTTCTGCCTCGAGGAGTTCCATCAAGCAATAGAGTACCTCAAGCAATACCTGAGCATTGCTGAGGAAGTCGGTAACAGAGCAGAATCAGCAAAAAGTGCCTATTGCAATCTTGGCCATGCTTACCAATCCCTCGGTGACTACCAAAGAGCAATAGAGTACCACAATCAACACCTCAGGATTGCCCAGGAACTTGGTGACAGGGCATGTGAAGGATGTGCCTATGCCAGTCTCGGTGTTGCTTACAACAGCCTTAATGAATTCCAAAGAGCAATAGAGTACCACAATCAACACCTCAGGATTGCCAAGGAAGTTGGTGACAGGGCAGGTGAAGGATGTGCCTATGCCAATCTCGGTTATACTTATCACAGCCTTGAAGAATTCCAACGAGAAATTGACTACCACAATCAACACCTCAGCATTGCCAAGGAAGTTGGTGACAGGAGAGGTGAAAGATGTGCCTATGGAAATCTCGGCTATGCTTATGCCTCCCTCCGCAAATTCCAACAAGCAATAGAGTACCACAATCAACACCTCAGCATTGCCAAGGAAGTTGGTATCAGGGAATGTGAAGGCCAAGCCTATGGCCAACTCGGCTATAATTATATGGCAATCGACGAATACCAACGAGCAAAAGAGTACATCTATAACGGCCTCATCATTGCCAAGGAAGTTGGTTACAGGGAAGTGCAATTGCAATGCTATGGCAATCTCGGCAATATTTATACAAATCTCGGCGAATACCAACAAGCAATAGAGTACACCAATAAAAGCATCATCATTTGCAAGGAAGTTGGTCACAGGACAGGGCAAGGGCAAGGCTATGGCATTCTCGGCCATATTTATTCATGTCTCGGCAAATACCAACGAGCAATAAAGTACACCAAAGAATGCCTCAAAATTGCCAAGGAAGTAGGTGACAGGGCACTGGAATGCAAGACCTATGGCGAACTCGGCGGTACTTATCACAGACTTGAAGAATTCAGTCAAGCAATGGAGTGCTACAATGAACAGCTGAGCATTGCCAAGGAAGTCGGTGACAGAGAAAAAAAAGGAAGTGCCTATTTAAACATCGGCCAACTTCGTTATTCCCTCGGCAACGTGACAGGAGCAATGGAGTTCTTCAAGCTACACCTGAGCAATGCCGAGGAAATCGGTGACAGGAAGGGACTAGGACTGGCCTATTGCCGCCTCGGAAGATGCTATACAAATCTCGACGACTTGAAGGAAGCAATAGAGTGTTACAAGAAACACCTGAGTATTGCCAAGGAATTCGGTGACAGGAAGGGAGAAGCATGTGCCCATAGCAGTCTGGCTCAATGTTTTTTGTATGCAGATTCTTGGAATGAGGCTTTAGAACATTTTAGATGCAGTGTAAAAGTCTATGACGCTATTAGAGCTAGTTCTATCTCGGAAGATGAATTGAAAATAAGTTTCAGAAAGAAATATCAATTTGAATATACTCGTTTATGGCAGCTTTTAGTAATGCTTGAAAGGAATGATGAGGCTTTATACGCTGCTGAGAGGGGACGAGCACAGGCTTTGCTCGATGCCTTAAAAGGAACTTATGGCCTTACATCACTTTCTCCCAGGTCAATTGAATCTGAAGAAGTAGTCAGAAATATTTCAAGGAAGACAACTGTTTTAACAATCTTTCTTGCCCTTCATTCGAAAACAGTCAATATCTGGGTGCTGGGAAAAGAGGGCAACCCTATTTTTAGGCAAAGGGAGATAGAAGTTGGTCATGAACACAAAGATTCCATTACTCTCCTTTTAGACACTGTTTTGAAAAACAGGTGCGAAAATCGGTGCGAATTACAGCCATTATATGATGCAGTTCTTGGTCCCATTGAAGACTTGCTTGATGGCGATGAACTAATTGTAGTTCCTGACGGCGCTCTGTCTAAAGCTCCTTGGGCAGCCCTGACTGAAACTTTAAGGATCCGCACTGTTCCCTCACTGACAAGTTTGAAAGTCATCATAGATTCTCCATGTGAATACCACAGTAAAAGTGGAGCCCTGCTTGTTGGAGATCCATGCTTGAAGAAAATTACAAATAAACGGGGGAACCCCATATATGATCCTCTGAAGCACGCAAAAGAGGAAGTGGAGATGATTGGAGGAATTCTAAAGAGTCAAACTTTAACAGGTGAAGATGCAACCAAAGAAGCGGTACTTCAGAGAATCGGGTCAGTTGCTTTAGTACACATTGCAGCCCACGGAAAAAAGGAAACTGGAGAAATTGTTTTGGCTCCAGATCTCCGATGTGAATCCAAGCCTCCTAAGGAGGAGGACTGCATTATGAAAATGTCTGACATACAAGCTGTTAAGCTGAGAGCGAGACTGGTTGTGCTAAGTTGCTGCCACAGTGGTCAAGGAGAGGTCTCGTCTGAGGGTGTGGTCGGTATGGCACGTGCTTTCTTGTTTGCTGGTGCTCGTTCCGTGCTGGCGACACTCTGGGCAATTGATGACGAAGCCACAAAGATGTTTATGGAATCTTTCTACCAAGAACTTGCAAGAGGAGAAAGTGCAAGTGTTGCTCTTCAGAGGGCCATGAAATGTCTTCGAGACTCCCAAGATTATTCTGCTCCAAAGTACTGGGCTCCTTTTGTTTTGATGGGCGATGACGTTAAGATTGAATTGGAAAGTCGTAAGTGGAATTTTTTTTTCTTGCTGTTCTAGTGACAAAAGGCATAAGAAGAAAAGCTAGAACCATTCTTGTCAAATTCAGATAAGAGGAAAATGACAGACTCGATAGTAAAAAGAATAAAAATATGTATAAAGTAAGGATGGGTAAAGTGGTAAGTGTTAAATTATTATCGATTCACTCAAGTAAATGCTATTCCTAACGGGCTACCAACACATTTCAAAAATCAATTGAACACTAGGCATTGCTTAATGTTCTTAATTGTTAAATACTTTAGGTCAGGTGTGGATGAAAGATATACATAGGGAATGAGCTTCCTTCTTTTTTCTACAGGATTAGCACTATATGTAGAGAAATTCATAGCTTCAAAACGAACAAATATGTCTAAGATGTTAAATGTTCTTCATTTTGCTATTTTTCATATCATCATCCATGGCATCCTAAAATTTAACGCTTTGACCTTCATTTTTTTTTGAAATGAAAGATTAATTAATGTATCAATTGTTACTTTCTTTACAGGGATGCGCTGAAAGTTTGATGTCAACACAACTGCTGAAGTAGAGTGTATATATCTGGATTTCCCCAAAGAAAGAAGTGCGTTATTTAATAGCTGTCCTCAATGGGGCGTTTGGTAAAAAAGCGTGTTTTCATTTTAGTCATTTTTTGTCAGAAGATATTAAATAGAGAGATTTATAGTCACGCTAACGGCAAATGACAAACGTCTACAGATTCAAGTTGAGAATTTCTCAAAATAGAAAATATGAAGATAAAATGAAAACAACTCAAAGCAGTTCTTATGGATAAAACTAACTTGAAACTAACAATTTTTTGTAGATTTATTTAACAGCAAACGAGAAAGCTCGAGAAGCAAAGGGAACACTTTGTCACGTGGTACAAATCCACGGTTTGCGGTATAAAGGAAACTCTAAATCTCTCTAATTAATAACATCAAAAAACGTTGTAAATCAAAGGGCATACTGTATACTGTGAAGCCCTATATTAGCCACGGCTACACTTATCAATTTTAACTTGGGAAAAAGACAAACAATTTTCGTGGGGAAAGAACTTAACGTTGTTTACAAGTATTTCGTTACTCCCGTGAAAATGACTGAATAGTAGTACAGATGATTGCCCCTTTTCTCGACGTGTAACCTACCTTAATCGGCAAATTGTAATTGGCAAAGGAAAATTGCATTGTAATAATTGTAATATTGATGATAATAATAATCATCATCATCATAATCTTAATAATTCCTTTTCAGTTTTTTTCCCCTCGGCTTTAAAGTAAATGACTGAAACAAATAATTCAAATTAATTTAAAAGGGTTAACCCTCGGACGTACACGCAAATTCATACCTCAGTGTGGTATAAGGGGGAGGGGTGGATGGAACCCCTCCCCAGAGTTTTTGATCATGATAATTTGCAGTATTTCGAAACGATTTTGCTTTCAGTGGAAAGCCTTTGATCTACTCAACAAGATGAGGCTTATTTTTAATAGGTGGTGGCGCTGCTGGAGGCCTGTGACGTCACCAACAATGGTCGCCATCTTGGATTTCACCAAGAATTAGAAATCGGGTTAAAATCGCGATAAATGATAATTTTTTGTGCTTCGCATGTAAAATAACATTTAAATAAGCCCTTTGCATCATTTCATTGACAGGTTTTTCTTTTATTGTTGAAAAAAGTTGAAACAACATGCATTTTCACTCAGAAATGGCTTGGCCACCTGCTACTTAAGACGTCATATGTTGTAACCATAGTAACTGACCATCTCTAAACTTGTCTCAAAATGCGCGCGTGGGATAAACGAACGGCTTCTGAAAACGTCAGCTGCTGATGTTTTATCGTCTAAAAATAATAATAAAAAAAAAAAACGTTGGGGTCGGGGGTACGTCCGAGGGTTAAGAATCCCAAGTCTCCTAACGGAATGGAGACGAACCAATTAACTATATACAAGCGTGGCCGTGGTTTCACTAGGGTGATTCACTTTTTAATCAGATAATTTTAAAAACTTTAAGTATGCACTGTAAGTATTTTGTGCATTCTGAACCGTGATTTTGAACCGCGGGTCACAATTCAGTGGTTTAAGGCCTGGGTAAAAAGGGTGTATTACGTTTCGTATGATTGATCCCTGGTTTCCCAGCTGAACTAGTTATATTTTTTTAAAAAAAAAAAAATTAATATGCCCATGTCTTGTTGATCCTTAATGTATAAATTGGTGGACAGTAAAAAATGCAGACTGCAGACTGACTACAGACCATTGTTTTCAGGGTTAGAAAACAATGGGACTATCAGTGGCTTCATGGCTTAGTTTGTTGGAGCGTCGCACCGGTATGTTTTTCAGCCTTCTTACGCAACTGCATAAATCGCGTTCACAACCGCGAGGATCTTTCTTCATTTGATTTCATTTCCGCAGTTCTCATATATGATTTATTTCATATGCAATTGTCAATGGGACGATTGTTGTCACGTTCCCATTTGCACGGTAAAAACAATGTTTTGCACTGAGAGCAGTCTGTAGTCTTCATTTTGTACTTATGTTATATATTGGGACACACATTGTGTCACTTAATTAAAACTGTTTTTAAATTTAAGTAAAATGGGACTTCAGAGACGAGTTTAACTTATATGGATAAATTATTAGCGTTTCATACAAGAGTAAACACTTTGCCTTCCACGTTTGGGAATGAATATGCTCGTAGTTTTAAAAGTAAGTTTTGGACGATACACTGAATAGCCTGCGCAGAGACAGGAGCGAGTGACCGCTGGCGAATTGGACCGTCTGAGAATCATTAGAGTGACTTTTGCCTTATTTTAACAACCCTTTTTTAGGGAAAGCGTTACCAGATAGTCCTTCCATGCCTGCAAGCAAAAGAAAAAGGACCCGAAATCTAATTTTCATCCGAAAACAAGATTTATTTTCCTTCTCTATTTTTCCACCACCACTTCCTTGTAGAGCTGGGTCCGCCTCTGTCTCTGCACTCGTAGACTATTTGTTCTTCCATTAAACTAGGTTTAACTCTTAATCTTGTTTCTTAATTACTGCGAGTCATTTCAATCATAAAAGACGTTTTCGTGTACTATTGCGTTAGTGGTCCAACAGCTTAAATTGATGTCGACTTTAAAGTATCCAAACAGTGGAAGAGATTAGATTAAGATTTTGGACGCTCCAATAACTTAATGATGTTTTGTTGTAATTGTGCTAGGTTGTAAAAGTTGGGCTTTTTATCAAATAGATCAGTTTCAGAACACGTATACAGCAACGTTCTGAGGTTTGGCGCTAGGAAATCACAGCAATCGTTCAAGCTATCATCATTCTATCGAGGATCTGACCTATTTTTGCCGCCTCTAGATAGCTTTCCTCTAGGCCATTGACCTTTAGCCATCCCTCAGTTATATTATTTAAAGGAGCTGCTTTAATTTAGGGATGTCACCATTAGAAAAAAGGATAGGAGATTGGGGGAAGGGAAACGCATTAGTAAGAAAAAAATCTCCACACGCACCATGATCAAAAACGCTGTTCAAGGAGGAAAAATAGATTTCCACCTGAGGAGTAAAGAGAAAACCTTCATAGACCTGCCAAAAATTCAACCCAGCCCCTTTACTTTCCTAATGGTTCATCCGTTATACCGCCCCATGTAACGGAATCCTGAATCTGTGAAAAATTTGCATGTGAAATCCAGGATCCTGAACTTTGGAGTCCGGAGTACAGCTCAAAGAATCCGGACTCCCACTAGCAATTGGAATTGAAAATTCAAGTTCAACTGACAAAGACTGGAATCGAGTACCTGTAATCCGGAGTCCGTGACGTGGAATCCAGAATCCCAGACTATCTTGGATTGCCTTACGTGGGGTGACTTATAGGTCGGCTTGTTGAACTGCTTCTACTTAATCCCAACACGTAGCACGATACAATGTTTAGTTTCTGATGTTACCTTAAGATAAGTAATGTTGTATTAAACCTGAAGAAAACGAGATGTTTACTGTGATTGTTGATCTCTTCGATGCCTTAAACCATTTTAAAATAACTTCTCCTTGAATTGGAATAGTCAATATTTGATTAACAAACCACTCCCACCTCAGAGGCGCTAAACATTTTCTATTCTAGGACGTTTTTCACATATTCTAAGACAAGTTTCTGATTCTGTCATTAAATTATCCCGCTAGGTAAATCGGTTTTCAAGCAAGAAAACCCAACTTTCGAGCAGAAGTTTGATGAAAACCATTTGACCTCGTTTCGCCATACAACGTCATAAGAAGCATAAAGGCACCAAAAACTCATTCCATTATATTTTCAAAGAGTACCATGGTAGTGACCCACAACTTTGCCACGGGTCTCTGGGCAGCCAAATGACTCAGTAAAACAAAAACGTGTTCAAACCAATTTTCGACATCCAGGGATGTACCTTTGAAACAGCAAATGAAACTTTTGTGTATATTCATCAAAACCGGGTAACGGGTATTCGAACCGTGGCGTTAATAAAAGAGTAGGACGAAGGAGTGAAACCCAGAAAAACGGAAGAAAATATTAAACGGAAGTGAGGATTGGGAATTAATTCGCCCATCCCTCTCGGCCAACTACTCCAGACTCGTACTCAGTCGTTATTTATTTATCCCCGTGCGCCTCAATCTTCTCGACAATCTCCAATCTTCTCTCATCCCAAAAACACATAAATAGTGAATGGTGCGATTGTAAACACTTATAGATTTTCCTCTCCCAGCATGGGCAATGTCAAGTTTAAGTACACACCTGGTCAATCGTGAAGCATGCACTATTGCAAATTTTAATCGACCATATTTTCAAACATGGTCAATAAAATGTTAACCACTGCCTGTATTGAACACCTATTGAATGAGATTTTGTGATATCCAGAATAATCAAGGTCTAGGTGTTATCAGCCAAGCCGAAAGCTGAGGCTGATAACATTTACCGAGAACTTGCTTATTCCGGATATCACAAAAAGCTAAACTAATCACACATTGTTTTGAAGAAGATAACAACACACCGTCGCACAGAATATACTTTGACGTTGCTCTTGCAAATCATGCATTGCGCGCACAAACTGCAGACAAGTCAGTTATCTGCTAGCAGATAATTAACTAATCTGTGGTTGCGCTTATTTTCAAAATAAACTGTAGGCTTTTAGCCAATGAGAAGGCACGCAGTAAGTACAATGTCTAATAATTTTATTTGTATGTATATAAATTTATTTTTTGAAAAAGATATCTTGCGAACGGACTTGCAAGGAAAACAAAAAATTCATGCACAGAGTTATTAGTCACTACAATAAATTAAGGATGGCTGAGGATATAAGCATGAATGGGAAAGACAAACTTGAAAAGTTTAGCAAAAAAATTCAAGAGGCAGAAAACATGACGTAGCTAAGCTAATCCTTGATTAACCCCCTCACCAGTAGAAATGGGTGTGGGGAAGTAGCCTAGTCAAAAGAAGGGAGCCGCAAGGCAGCACGGGAGGTAACCATGACAACCCGGTGGCGGGGGAACCAACACCGTCAAGGGTGATATCACGTCATGGGTGATAGATTACTCCTTAATTTTGGCACGAAATTTCAGCATTAATTTATAATTTCACTTGTGAAATTACAAAATTGCCATGGCAACGTTCCGTACCTTTCAGTGCCAATATGGCGTAGAAAATTCCAAATGTTATGAATGATGATGTCAGGGCAGGGCATTTTAAGACGCTTTAGAAAACCTGAACACATGAAAGAACACATCAAGAACTATTCTAACAGGTATTTTGTCGCAAAACTTGTGACCTTAAGCCAAATTTTATGCTCTAAACCTTTCAGTGAGTGGAGTTCTCGATAAGATAAATAAGATATGCCACATAAAATCACTCTTCCTAAGCTAACTTATTCTAAGAATTAGTCAAAAGGAATGTGGATATTTTTGACCACATCTAGTGAGGACGTCACATTTACAGCCGGAAGGACAAGTAAGGATGCCACGCCGCACCATTCTCTACAAGAACAAACAATTAAGAATTATTGGAGGAGGGAGAGAAAAGTTATGTGTTTCGTCAGTTACGATCATTTACCAGCAAATCAATTATTGGTCTATGCCAAGGGCGTCAGGACGTAGCAAATAATTGATCTGTGAGACAATAAGAAACCATTATTTTATTTTTTTCAAACCAAGCTCACTAATTGTTTTATCATTCAATCAGTACGCTTAATTTGTTTGCTTTGTAATTTACTCGATCCTTATGTCAAAAACCCAAATTACACTTTCGAAGTTAGGGCACGCGCAGTCAATTTTTCCTCCTTGATTTTAATATTCACTTTTCCCAAGTCTTTTTTTCTGTTCCTGGGTTTTTACAGTGCTTTATTTTTAGCAGGAAGAGGTTTTCGCAAAATCCCCGAAGTTCAAGAAGTGCATTTCAAGGTATTTGATCAGTGGGCTTGTGAAACAAGAGTTTCATTGGAATATTTTCTAGTTAAAGTTACATTATTTGTTGCCCATTTTCTCATTTATGTTTCATTGAACGGCGCTTATTTGCGTATGGTTTCAAAGATCTTGTCCCCCTGCGCAAGTTAAGTGTCAAAGTTGACAATGACCAACCTCGTTCCCTGAGTACTCTCTCTTGCTTCAAGAAAGAAACATTGTCTCTCGGAGCAAGAGAGAGAACACTGGAAACGAGGTTGGACAATGACCGTTAACCTGATGACGTCACGAGTGGTATAAGGGACGTGGTTACACACGGGCGCCCTCTGGCGGTTGAAGGGTGTGCAGAAAGTTTGCTCAATTTCTTTTAACTTGGCTGTAACCTTACCAGTGGTAGACAATGCGTTTGACCAAACAGGTCAGGACAAATGAGTTGCTCGAGAAATCTAAAATGACGGCTCACCTCGTGCTGAGTATCTATCATCATCGCGAACTCTTTGCTATCAGGAGTTAGTTTTGACTGATAATTCCAAAATGAACCAGCTCCAACAATGGCACTGGGCCAAATCTGAAATTTTATTGTCTCATTAGTATATATCGGAGTGTCCCCGAATAATACTTCAATGAGGCCATCCCGACTTATATTTTCCTGCAATCCCGTAATCCCAATGGTTATCCCGCGTCCCGAGCATATTTTCAATCCCGAATCTCGCTCTCTTTTCGCTTCAAAATCCCAAATCCCGGCCTTCAAATAAGAGAAATCCCGCATCCCGAAAAACCTATTAAAGAACATCTGTATCAGGGCCTGATTCCAAGGGACGGGCTGGCCAGGTTTGCCGCGCTGGCTCTCTTAATAGCAAGCTCGATTAACTGCATTCCGGAATAATAATACGTGGAATTAACTCTTCAAATCTCTTGTTTTAGTTTTCATTAGATGGTAAAATCCAGAAATCTGGTGGACACTTAATTCCGTACACATTGCAATTGTTCCAAAGGACCTTTCTAGCGTTTTACTGCCTGGAACTTATGAGTGGGGGAGGGTGGGGGCTTATCTCCGTGGGGGCTAATAACTGGGTGTATTGTTTTGTTTACAGGTAAATGGGCCTGTAACTGGGGGGAGGTGGGAGAATTTCAGTGAGGGAGGGTCATAAGAGGAAGTTTACTGTATTTACAACTAGAGATACTTACAATTCCACTCACTGACTCAGTAAACTGTGAATCGCTCTCGGGTCCAAACATCCACCATGCGTCAGGTTTTCCTCGTTTGTACAGAAAGCACTGATCTACAAAGCAGTAATCATCAGTCCACATGGCCATCTCACCACCCAGAACAAATGTCATCTCATCTGGATTTAACTTCAAAATAACGCAAAAAGACAGATCAAAAGATATATTAATTAAAGGGGTTATTTTGCACTATTTGCTATCCTTTAAGCTAAAACGTGTCTTTGTGCTAATTGAATACCAAAGATTAATGGTCTAGTTTCGTAATTTACTATTCACTGACTATTTTTCCTTTCATCTGTTGCTACCAATGGCAAGGATAGAAATAGATTGAAACTTGAAAAAGTTGGGCCAACTTGATTCCTGCAAAAGTCACTTGTCAGTTATTTCCATTCAGATCTTTTGTACTGCTTACTGTACTATCAAAAGATTTCAAGGGTCAATGGATTATTTTGAAGATTCACTCAATGTTCATCTTCCTATTTCATTAGGGGGTTTAAGCAAAGGCGTTTTTGAGCGACGCAATGTCAACCGGAAGTGAGCCTTTTAATCTCTTTTTAATAATATGCCTTGAAGCTGCCAAATTTGTAATGCTATGTGTCTTTACTCTTATAGAGATCATTTGCATGAAAATTTCGAAACTCATTTCTAGGGTTTTCTCGTTTTAAAAACTGAGAAGCCCCTGGGGATAAGATCAAACTAAAAAAAAGACTTTAATTACAAATGGTAGTTACCCCTGCTGTAATATTAGTCCATAGTGAACTAAAATCCACAAGGCTACTTAGGTAAAAATTGCCGCTCAGAGAGTTGATCCTGTCAAATTGAAAAACAAGATGGAGATGAATAATAATATAGACAAACCTCTCCTACCCAAACCGATCAAATAAGGATTGGTAAAATGCCCTTTTTTTTTGTTTTCTAATTAAAGTTTTGTTAAGGGAAAACAACTTATTATTTTAGAAGTTGAACTTTACAAGTCTTACTCAATCAAAAATATTGCTAATTTGTCAAAATTGATATAATTTATTGTACAGTCAGCTTTATTTCTTGCTTACACTTGAAATCCGCCATCTATAAGGGTTTTTACTACTGAGCCTTTCCATGCCTGGAGCACCGTTCCTTTTATTGCCTATGATGAAATCATAATAAATAAATACTTGAAAACAGCTCTTCATCCAGGCAAAAAAGATGCATGTTATATAATACATACATAATGCTTACAGCGGAAGTTGATATCAAAGCCTCTTGCCAGGCATATGGAATTTTTCCTTTCTGTACTAGAAACTTCATTAGTTCTTGCTCTAGGCTTTTGGTATCTGTGTAGAAAATAACCACCCAAGTTATTGCATTTACAGAGATTTTCTTTTACCTGAAGTAATGCTTGACAACATACTATGTCAAACTTAAAGTCATAATGATGAAATCATATTAAGTCATAATGAAAGTTTGCATCCAGTATTCACTCAATTAACTGCCGCATTTTGGACAAAGAGGTACTTAATTAATAAATGCTGTCCCCAAGTGAGGGCCGTAGTCAGTCACTCTTTATGATACACCATAAGACTGATTTCAATAATTGAAATCAAAAGATACTAATTCTGTAGTTTAATACGAAAAACAAAAATGTCAAGGTTAAAAAATCCTTTTGTTGCATTTAACCAACTTTCAAATAAATGTCTTCTCCCAAAACGGTCCTTAGCTATTAATGAAAAACCACACTATCTTCAATTATTTCAAAATGAGAAGTTACAATAATTATATATTCATTAGTAACAAACGTCAACCTAATTTAATTATTTTAAGAACATATATGTTACATAGCTATTTTTCCTATCTCAAGTAATTTTTACTTTTCTTTTGTTTCAACTTTATTAGCGTATATTACCATATACGAAAAAGAAAAGAAAAAGAAAAATTACCTGAAATAAAAAATTAAGTAGAAATTAACATTAATACATGTAACGTTAAAGAGTGATTATGTTTCAAAGTTTTTATTATGCCACAATCAACTTTCTGTAATTAAATTAACCTACTTTGTATGCTGCACAAAGTGGATGTTGTAACTTCATCTAAACCCAGGTGAAAGAACTGGTCTGGAAACAATGTCATCATTTCTTCAAGGATATTTTTCATTGTGGTAAGAGTTACTCCCTTGTCGAAGCAAGTACACCATAAGACTCATTAATAAAAGTAATAATTATTATTATTATTATAGTAATAATAATGATACTAATTGGATAATCATATCATATACATGTCTAAGTAAACAAACACTGCTAACATGTATTAACTAAAGGACTCAAACTACGGAAAAACCTTCTCATAATGATAAATTATATTTTTTAAACTAATCAAGCCTTATGAAAAGAGAGGCTTTTAGTGTTACATCTGCTACATAATTAATTGATTAATTGGTGTTTTGTAATAATTTAATAGAGGACACTTCAACTTGAGGACTTTTGCCAAGTCCTGAGGGGAAACCAGATCACCCAATAACACTTAGTGAGGCCCTGCCAGGGTAAATTCCGACAAGCCACATGGCCCAAAAAGTAGCGATAGTGCATAAAATGAAATCGTGACAAGAGACAACCTCCCCCGGCCAAATTGTGACAGTGACGGAAAAGCCGACAATAAGCAACAAGCATTTATAAACACCGACACGAGACTGCCTCGTACCCAGACGTCTCTCTTTTGATGAAAATGTGCGGTTCATCACCAGTCACTCGTTTCGCACTCGCCTCTGCCATGCGAAAAACGAAGCGCCTGAGGAGGAGGCTGGACACGAGACGTTTTAAAATTCAGATGGGCGACATAATTGACCCCCCCCTCCCCCGGCAGGGCCTCCATATGAACAAAAAACAATGGATTTATTTACTTTCTTGAAAACTTTGCTATTAAATAGCACATCAATTCAGCTTCGTAGTAGAATATTAGACAGGCATGAGAAGACTTTAAAAAATTAAAGCAATAAGAAGGCTCCAACAGTCTCCACTTTTTCTACTTGCTTTGGTAGTTCACTCAGCACTTTAATCAGCCTTGTCAACTGCCTGTCAATGTGAGAAATCGTGAGGTTTACCTTCCTTGGTTAAAAAATTTTCTTATGTAGCCAAACAGATAATCAGCAATAGTCATCAGTAGTCATGGATATTTTGAATGAAAACTCTGAGAGTTGATTGCAGTTAATTTTACCTGTGGGTCATTATAGAGTTCAAGAAATCCTGAATCATTGCAGAATCTCAGTCCTTTTGTTTTGTTGATCAGACCAATCATTCCAGCAACATGGGAACTGCATAATAACAAATATAACATAACAATGTGAAATAAACCAACTGACAAACAAGTAACTAGTGTGTTTTGTTTGCCTCCAGAGGGGGAAAAACAGGAGAACCTAATACAAGACTTGTAAAACATAGCAATAATCTTACATGGATCACAGACATGCTGACACTAACACTTACAGTCCATGTACATAAAGACTTGATGTCTGAGAGCCTTTCCACCCTTCATTATTGAAAGAAATGTTTCGTAAAAAAAATATTAATTGTTGAAGTAGGGCAATATTATCAACTGATTAATTACTAGTTAGCTGACTGTTCCATCACAGACAGAGCACAAGGGAATCTAGTGTTTGGTGCAAGCCAGCTTGCCCCTTCCCTCTCCCCCACACCCACCCCTCCACAGCCATAAAACGCCTCAATAGACCTTTGTCATGTGGCAGCCCTTTTGTCTCAGCAGAGACAAGAGAGACAAAATGGCTGCCGTGTGACAATGGTCTATGCCACCCTTTTTGATTTTTAATTGCAAACTTACGCTGATTCAACCTCTGGAATAACTCTTATTCCTCTGTCACCTGCATAAGATACTAAATCTTCGATTTGCTCCTGGGTATAAAACTGAGTTGTGTGTTCTTGTAGTTCTGGGTAACTGAAAAGAATAAGAGAAAAGATGAAACACATTTAAATAACATAAATTTTGTATTTCAATTGCAAAATGTAACATTCCTACAATCCAAAGAATGAATTACTAACTCAAGGCACAGTTTCAGGTAGCCTTTCATGCAGGCTAATTTGGGGGAGCTCGTATTTCATCCCTCCCCATAAATGCCTACTCAACCAGGTGGTACCAGGGGGTACTGGAATACACAGGATATAAACTATTCGACATGTGTCGCTGTGAAGGGAATGGTTTTCAAACAGTTTAGTCTGGAAATAGGATAATTTTTTTTATTAGAAATCAGGGAGTTCTTGCCATTTTGGTTGGTTGCTTATGAGAGCTTCAACTGTACTTTGAATACTCACAGTTTGCTCTGTACACTGAATCTACACCAGTCCAAAATATGCAAGTGAAGCACATTTAACTTCACAAAGCTCATGCCATCCAAAATGTTCTTCACAAGCTCAAAAGGAAAATATCTACGCCTGTAAAAAAAATATACAATCAATAGCAACAAAATCTTTTAACCACCACTGAAAAAATTAAAAATTATTGAGAGATGAATGCATGATGCTTACCCAGTGTCTAACATAAGGCCCCTGTGCACATATTGCGGTTGGTCATCAATATTGACTGTACTGTTTATCAAATTTCCATCTACAATCAGTTGAGAAAAAGTTTCCATTCCATACCTGCAAGAGGAGTCAAAATCAATCTCACACTTTTAATATCTGCTTAACTGAAGTGCCCTTAGCTTGGCTGGAATCCACTTCAGGATCCTGCCTATCAAACTCCAGATTTTATAAACTTGACCTCCGAAACAGGGTTTTAACCCAGAAGTGAGGACGGGGCCGGGGTGGGTGGGGGTGGATAATGCTATATGTAGGATATATAGCTGTCATATATTGGTATCAGGCATTCTCTTTTTCCCTCTCTTCTCACAAAAATGAAATGCTTGATCAGGCCAGTGCAGGTTCAACTCACCATGGATCCTGGCTACAGTATATCTACTGCCCGGTTGTCGTAAAATGAACTTGGAATCACTATCTTCCTTCAAATCTCA